TAAACAACACATAGAAATCTAATAAATTCCATTTTAGCACCAAAACGGCTGTTATCACTATTACTCCGGAATCTGTGCTTGTCATCGGACCAAGGGGACCTTTGAGGATGACTACCCTGTGTAAGAATCTCTTCAGGGATTATTACAAAAACACACTTTAAAAAGCCAATGGACTAGATTTGAATGTTGAAACGGATACATTAAACATGGGAAAATATGGGAAATTTGTCGTTAACCCTATTAAAAAGAGGCACTTGTCCCTCCAAAATTGAAGAGTTGTCGTCACTAAAAACGTCCGAGATGTACAGCTGACATGAAGACACCCTTCCCCTTGATCTTGACCAGACGTAATATTAGACTTTGCGCCAGAAGTTATCAGTAGATAACATTTTTCTGCCATGCTGCCATGATTAAAATGTGACCATTTCGTACTTATATCATGGCGAATTTTCAAAGAGAGTGTCACAAGTGGAATTCAGTTACATAAAGTGCAGCATTAACTTTGTTCTGACGCTAAATTTGGCGACGCCATTCATTTCCAATTCATAATACAAAATTTTATATAATAAATAACTTTAAAAAATAATGGAAATGCAGAAATTTAAAGATTTAAAGCAGAAATTAGGCAATAACAACAACAACAACCACAACAAAAACAATAACAATAACAACAATAATATTTACTTTATAAGATTTAAATAGCCCGTCATTATAAACGTTGTTATCATCATTATTATTAACAAACCGTTAAATTGTCAACAACCTGCAGCCTAGGCAAATTAACGTTGCCACAGTAAACAGTCAATAGTATTTCAAACGTGGTTTTGAGCTTGCCGAGTAGAGAACATTTGGCGTATGTGGCGTGCAGAAAGGATGCGCTTATGGTAAACAAAACTGAAATATTTTTCATTGCTTATGTATTACAAAATGTCAATTTGCCCGTCGCAAGGATGGAGTGTTTTCAAGGACAGACTTCGAACAGGATGTCCTCAATGGTTGAAGGTAATAAAAGAATCCTTACACTGCCAAGCGTCTATAGATAAGGTAATAAAATAAACAGTCGACATCTGGTCGTGCTGTATGAATGATTTTGCTCTCTCTGACTTTTACTGTAAGATGCTTTACATTTACACCCATGAGCGCTAATATCTGAATCAATGGCATCCAATTCTTGCCAGCAATATACAGGCCTTATAAACGGATTAGGCGTTTACTCACACTACCCGCAGGTCTTTTCTATCACAAACGCCCATATTAGTGAATACAGTTACTGGTTAAACGAATCGCCGGCATTACAATTAAGAACTACAAGATTCCATTTTTGTGTCCAATTGTTCCTAAAATGGGCAACATCATGCTGTCTCAGTACGCTTTGGAATGTGATAAGAGTATACCTTTGGGCAGACGTAAGGCTTGTGATCAAGAAAATATGATTAAACGTGATATTATGGAAGCGGTTTTTGTGTAAAAATATTATTTTCAGTGTAAAATTTTTTTTAGTCACTAGCTATCATAAGAATATTCGTCCAGGGCATTGTGTACCTATGAAAGTGAATTTAAAATGATGGTGTATTTCTTTTTAGCTGAGGTTCAGATTTAAAATAAATAAATAAATATATAAATAAACAAATAGATAAATAAATAAATAAATAAATAAATAAATAAATAAATAATGATCTAAGGCTTGTCCTTAATAGTTTCTATCCTCTTGGTGCTCATTTCTTTGGAACAAAAAGTCTCACTAAAAAGTATGAACAATGGCGTTGTTTTGTACGTGCCCCTTTACAGAGACTGGAAAAGCTACGATCTCATTCCTCAGGATTAAGCATCATTATGATTGACACACATTGTGATCCCTTCCTTAATTAGAATAGTGTTAAGCCGATAAAGCATCTGGACGGAATCTAGGTTTGACTGGCAACTTGCCTAGTTAATCTCGTAGCTAAGAAGCAATTAGGGCCCTTTCGTAAGCATTATCCTGGTGTATACCTAAGTGTTGTGGTTTATCTATTTTGACAGAGTTTACACTTTACCGTGAATCAGCCCCTGGTTTTTTCATTTGATGGAAAGACGCTAATTTTTCCTCAACAAAAGCCCCTAAATCTCTTTGGTTTCTCTGTTTCCCATGGGTATAGGTTCGGAATCAAATTGTTCAAGAGCCAGGCTGATTACCAGAAAACCGATTTCATTAATTGTATTGTAGTTCGAACATAAGCAAAATTTCCAGGAAACGGTGTCCCCTTGTGAGTGCAAGCCCCACTTGTTAGGTTAATATGAAAACACTTAGAATTATCTCAGACAATAAAGCAATATACTGTAGATACTTTGTTTTTGTCCATTTTCAGCTATAACAGCGGAAATGAAAGTCATGTCTAAAGTAACGTCACTGAATCACATAAGCTGTGTCACATTATCTTTTTCTTTTTTGCCATAGAGGTACTCGTACGTGTAGACCTACATTCGCTATAGAACTGCAAATTACGGTTCCTCCCAGGAAGAGCAAAGGACAAAATACATCCTCGCAAATAAGATCTGCTTACAGTCTGTCGCTCGTTGCTCTGAACGACTGACGCTCTCTAGATAGTGTTCTAATCTCGATTCAAAATCCGCATAATCATAATGGTGAATAGGACCGTATCAGAGCAAGCAGGCTGTTTGGATATTTTTATTTCACGAATTTCTTTATTTCTTTAATAAAGGTTTATCTACAGTCCTCGGTGTTTGATGTTTAGTTGTTCCTGCGAATTGGGAATCTCTGCCGCTAGGAGCCTGGACATTTTCATGTCAACAGATATGTCTAGACATGCCTACACGGAGAGAGCATAGACCAGAACAATGAGCAGAGACAGCGATTGGCCTCAAAATCATGACATCCCCGGGATCTGGAACATGGTTCCTTTGCTGAGGTGTGACCATTCAGGTATCTGTCACTTGTAAACAAAAAAGGAGATTTGGCGATACGAGGTAGGTCAGAAGGCAAGTACTCATGTGCTTTCCATCTCCGATTTACATAAACCGCATCACAATATGTAATAACTACCATTTTGTGTCTTCATTTAGACATCTGCATTGCATTAGAATTGCAGTGAAAATAACTATCACGTAATGTGTATGTCATATATATCAAGGAAGTTTTATTTGGTCTGTGGCACTGTATCTCTATGATCCTGTAACAAAATTGGATTAATTTAAAGTTTTTTTTACATAATCTCAAACCTCCAGTTAAGCAAGTAAGTGTTTGTATAACTGCATGGATAGAATTTTCCCAGGGCGAATTTTTTACTTATACACTGTATATTTAGTGGTATATGTCGTGATTAATTGGTTGAGATATGTAGAGACACACAAATGGGTTAATTTCAAAGATTACATTTACTTAAGTAAATGCTTTATTGCCGGTGATTTAAATCAGGTTGAAATGAATGGAAAAGTGTAATTAGCAGTTTTAGCAACGCATGATGTGTTCGACCAAACTTTTTAAAGGATCAGTCGAATCATGACGAAACAAAAAGGTAATGGATTTTCTAATATAAAGTCCCACCATACTTTTAACCTCAGAATCATGAGAGAAGTCTATTCAAAAAGAAGCGAGAGAATGCCAGACGTTTTAAAACATATCTATCAGAGCACAAAAAACAGGGCTCTTGAACACCAGTACGTTTATTACCTATTGTAAATATTTATGTTAAAACAATCAAATTACATCTGGAATAAAGGACTGGTATCAAGGAGCAAAGATTCAGAAATGAAAATAATGAAGAAAGAACGAAAATCGGCACGGAAGTTGTTTTGCATAACATTATCTGAACACATGGCCAATAACATGTTATTGATATTTGCGGTTTCGTGTCAAATCAACAAATCATTATTCAAGATTGTAGAAGGGTAATTATAGTGTGTCGGGAAAGGTGAACTACTGTATGCTTGTATTTATTTATTTATTTATTTATTTATTTATTTATTTTTGAAAACACACCTGAACCCTGTGCTATTTATGTAAACAGGAGACGGTTCGCTAGAGTGTATATTTGTGTACATCCATAGCGCATTAGCACCCAGAAAATTTGCTAAAAAGATAAAACAGAAACAGGTATTGGAAACATAGCTAGAGCCAGAGCAGAAATTTTAGTGATTGGCTGCTTGAATACCTTGATCACATACATGTCGATATATAAGCGTAAGCCATTGCTGAACATCTATTATGAAATGTATATTGGTGCCTGGAGAAGTTTGTAGCACATTGCAGAGCCAAAATTCAAATTGATTTCGTCTAACAATTGCATATTAATATATATATATATATATATATATATATATATATATATATATATATATATATATATATATATATCAACATCGACTCTAAAGAGGGATTGATAGGTAGATATGCGTTTAGAGAGAAAGCGATATTTCCCGGTTTGTGGTGATCGCTCTCTATACCGACCCCTTACTCTCAGTTCATTGGCCAGCAATGGTGACTCTTAACCGGATGCTGGTGTCCGTCAGGTTCTCTAAACAGCCAATCGGCTTAGTTCGTTTCTGTTTCAATGTCGACTGTCAATGTTATCGGGAATCATGGTTTTTCTTCTTCCTCGTTCGTAATGCAAGTTAATGCAATTAATTGAAACGATAAGATGAAATACTGTATTGCTATGTGATTTTTATTCTCTCTCTTTCTAAAATTATGAGGTGGTAGTGATGGCGGGGGTAGGGGGGGTCGATGAACGTAATAACTGATGTGCAAACTTCTGATTTTTTTTTAATAGTGCTTTTGACATATTCTAAGATGTCAAACAGTAGGTGTGTTGGCGGCTGTCTAACATATGATTGGAAATATAACAAAAAGAGGATACTTAGTATGCACGCGTAAGCGGTAAGTGTGATTTTAGTTTAAAAATATTAATTTGCATTGATAAAATTTCCAGATTACACAAGTTCGGGAGGTTATATACTGTAGATCCAAGCAGATAAACGAACTGACAACAAGGAGCGGTTCAGAAATGGCCTCAGGCTGCAGAAATGATGCAAAGGGGGTGTCGTTTGATCTAACGGCAGCCAGTATATCAGACACTGCAAAATATGTCCCCGATACTCCAAGGAAGCCATTCATAAACATTGTAGCCCCCGACAGATCAGGGCGCTCTCACAGGGGAAGGTCGGACGATTCTGGCATTTTTATGGTAGTAAATATAGGTCAGAATACGACGCCCGGAACCCACGGGGAAGAGCAGACCATAGAAATGGCTCGATTTTCAGGAGCGGATTCCACGGAGGAAACTGTTATATCATTAGGGGAAACCAGCAGATCCACGTCCAGTTCTGCCACAGCCAGCTCAGACAACAGAATGTCGGTCAGGTACCTGAAGGTGAGTGATTATGGTTGATGCCATATACGAACACTATAGGCACACGATATTCGGATTATGATTTTTTTCAATCCCATGTATACTGTATGCCACAGTACTTTTATCAGAATAACCACTTCGATTTGCTACACGCAGGGGGGGGGGGGGGGGGGGGCCAAATGGAGCAACATGCCCAATGACATATTCATTAACGCATCCAGTAGAATTAACAATTTCTAGCTCTCAAATGCCTTATAACTGCAGTTATATCAGACGCCAAGTGCATAGCAAACATTTTTGAAGGAGTTGTCCGAATTGCCGTCGAACACACTTTGGCGAACAACCGTCAAAGGCCAATATCAGCTAAACTGATGAATTCAAAATGTTGCGTTTGAACAACGCAGATTGGTTCTAATTACTTCCTGTATGAGATTCGTCTTTAATTTCAGGGGATAAATATATGTGAGAGCCAACTGCCTTACGTGGGTTGTTTTATCCATAAATAGNGGGGGGATTTCAAAGTGTACAAGATTTTGCGTAATTTACAATGAACTCCGTATTATCAGCTGAGTGTTATAAGAATAAGATGTTAGTCTGTCTCTAAATGGTGCAACATGCCCAGTGACATATTCATTAACGCATCCAGTAGAATTAACAATTTCTAGCTCTCAAATGCCTTATAACTGCAGTTATATCAGACGCCAAGTGCATAGCAAACATTTTTGAAGGAGTTGTCTGAATTGCAGTCGAATACACTGGCGAACAACCGTCAAATGCCAATATCAGCTAAACTGATGAATTCAAAATGTTGCGTTTGAACATTGCAGATTGGTTCTAATTACTTCCTGTATGAGATTCGTCTTTAATTTCAGGGGATAAATATATGTGAGAGCCAACTGCCTTACGTGGGTTGTTTTATCCATAAATAGCAGGCTATTTCATTACGCATGTCGAGAAGGGATGACAATTACTCAAATGCCAATTCTCACAAAACGAAATGCAACACGCACAGTCATGGCGTAAATTATTAATGTAGTATTTATAGCACTTTGTTATTTACGGTTGATTATACTGAAATGTTGACGTGTAGGTTTTAGCGTATTAATTTCATTTTCATCTGGATAAAAGGAGAAAAGGGGAGGTGGCATGAACCCCCTTTTAAGACACGATTCCTGGTATGACCATTGTGTCGAAGGCCAAATGTAGGGGGTTGGGTGGGTTTGTGAGTAGAAACACCCCTTTTTTTCCTTGGACTGGGGGCGCGGGGGGGGGGGGGGGGTAAGTACATGCCCTTAATACAAATATTGAAAATCTGGCCATAGAAACAATACACATCAGTCTGACCTATGGTAGTCGCACGTAAAATTTCTTCTGCTTGTTCAGAGAACTTTTCAACGGGTAAGATCTTATGAGCTTTTATGCTACTCATTTGGAACAGACAGAGTGTGTTAGCCGTTGATTTATTTTCTATTATTTCTTCGTTTCAGAAAAAATTCGCTGAGGTTGAGATCGAGGAGTTGTATCAGCTGTACTGGCTCCGGTCTCAGCGTGCCTCCTTTAGGGCGCTTCTCGCGGTGCTTGTCCTCTACGCAGTGGTGCTAGTGTTGCTCTTCCATTTCCACCACAATGTAAGTTGACTGAATCATCTTTGTCTCTTTCGGAAACCGTGTCCCGTTTTAAAGACCCTTTGTGAGTGACGTCACAACTGACTCAATGATGTCACATACTACCCCAATGACGTCACATTTCGCACGGTATAGATTTGGTAATAAATGTAATTTGTATCTGAGGATTATGTACCACATTCTATTATTTAGTGCATCACAATGTTCCATCTAATTATATCATAACGTCGTTTTATAGTTCTGAGTTAATCAAGTGTCTCCAGCAATCAAATCACATATTTCATTTTTCTTCAGGGTAGCCTCGGATTACAAAACAGCACAAATACCATGGGTAGAAACCTGAACATTGTTGTGATCACAGGCGGAATTCTAGCCATCATCCTTTTCATTCTTGTCTCAATAGAAAAAGTATTTCTACTCTTTTCGAAGCCACTGACTCTTCTAGTATGGTTTTCTTTGTTATCCCTAGCTTTTGGATTCAGTGGGATACTTTACAGTCCCTCAAACCCGTCGTTCTCACCCCGCACTGCGATGGACGACGTGCCAACTATTCTATACACCATCTTCGTAGTGCACACAATTTTACCTCTCAGCCGAAAGTGGTCCATTATCTTAGGATCACTGACAGCGCTTGCAAGCCTTATTTTCTCGGGTGCGCTGTTTAATAGATTGGTCCTGAGCAACTTGGGGTGCACAGACATCTTGCTTCAACAGGTATTTAATTATTCGCTCGCTTTTTCTCTTTCGTGATTAGATTCATTCATGCATGTGTACTCCTCTACATACCAGATTTACAGGGTTCATCCGTAATACAGTGTATGTAACCTGTAATTTATTATATGGAAATGCACTGATGCAAAAATAGATCAATAAATAGACACACTGTAAATCCATAGATAAATCCATATATTCTTTATTTAGGACCATCATTCTTTCTAAATTGCATGATAATTTTATCGTTTCAGAACATCAATCAGTATATATTCCTATTCTAATTTTGATTAAGGTATCGACTTAGTCTATAATATACTTTCCTGGTTGTTTGTAATTCTTCATTAAAACTTTCATTCGAACTTTTCATACAGATATTGGCTAACTTTATGATCTACCTCGGCGCTAATCTCACAGGCCTGTACCACAAACACTTGACAGATCTGGCCCACAGACACACCTTTCTGGACGCTAGAAGTGTGCTCCAAACCAACAGTTGTCTACAGAAAGAACGAATTCTGCAGGTAATAATTCCTCGTTCAACCAATGTTTAAATTCATCGACATTGGTTTACTTGTGGATAAGAGAACTGTAAAAGGTCTTTCCTCACTTTTAAGTGTTTTGGAGGAACAATTCTAAAAGAAGAAATGGTTACAGTTTAAATTGAACTCAGGTCTCCCATTTTTTATTTTCTAATTTATTTTATTCTTATTAGCATTTTGGTTTCGTGGAGATCGGTTCTGTGAGTGTTTGATCAAATAAATTTTATCGGCAAACAATACTAGTACTGTACTGACGTTTCATTACAATTTTGCCACTTACCATGTCGGTTACATTAACATTTGTGCCGAAGCCACATTTACTTTCAAAATGTGTCAAGCGAAAGAACGAAAAAACACATCTAAACTATGTGTCATAAGATCGACGAATACTGTACTACTTTTTCTAGCCTTGATCTTCTCCATTTAATTCCAAACCTGCAAAAGCTAACCACAACCTTTGACAACGCCGCTTAACAGTGCGTAATGCGTTGCGTGTGTACTTGTATTAAAATTTCTCAGCTAAAGTGTGCAAGTAATAATCTCACCCTCTTGAATGTGGCATTTTTTAACCTAATCAATCAACTAGTCTTACGAAGGAATTCAATCCATCAAAACAACATGCAAACAAGAACAAAAAGACAATTGTACTACCGCGAGCGAAGTTTATATAATTTATATCTAATACTTTTGTTGTTCATCAGAACACGTGAAAATTTTCTCGTTACGAATTCTACGCCACCTGTTGTCGTGCCGCGTAGTGCGGTGTAAGCACAGTAATTATATGAATCAATTTGTGCAATTCAGCAATGTTACACCATCTCTTTGAAGCAGTTTTATTCCCATTCTGCTGTGTCATCTCTTCGAAAGGATAAATCATCCCAGACAAAATAAACCCCAAATAAAAATGCAACGTTGGCCCTAACATTGCACATATTGTGGGTCTATCCAACATCTACTGGATGTTTCATGTCGGCACGAGTTTGATCTCATTTATGTGGTCTTAGTACTTGGATTTTAATCCTGTAACTGAAGAATCCGTCCGTGTCCACGCCGTCCATCCGTAACAAAACAAATGGCCACTGCACTAGCAAAGAAGGAATTTGTCTTTTCGCCCAATACTAGAGTCGCCGAAAATGGGGAGAGTCCCAATTTTTTAATAACGAAAAGAAATTGTTCTAAACATCTCTCAACTTTTTCTTCATCATCAAAGGAAAGCCTGCTTCTGAAGATTATACCAGCGTACCTGTTGGACGACATGAAAGAAGTCCTCTACAGAAAGTTACTGCTGGAAGCCGTTGAAAAAGAGGAATTCGATGATTCATTAAGGTACGTTTCATATAGTGTGTCCATATTACGGTTGCATGTACATGTACCACTTGCATGTATTATGCATTTTAATGTTGCGTTTTCTGTGCACTAAGTTTTCGCTTCAAAATCACACAGATTTCAAAATTCAGAGTAAGGTTTTAACTTACAACGTTTAATTCCTTCGCTATTTTCTATTATCATTTCATTTCATTTTGGTTTATTTGCTCATTTTGTGAATTGGGGGAGGAAGTCGTTGACTCAAAGGTTGCAATCAACCTTCCTCTTTGTAATCTTCTTGTATGCGCAGCTTCCTCGTCTTCTGACAGAGATTTATTATATGGTAGATATGCATTTATATGAAAAAAACCCTGCAATTGATAGCGAGAGCCAGTTCAGTGACACAGGCATTTGTGCCAGGGCGCAGCAAGCCTAGCAACCTACTTTACCCAGTTATCCGCAAGAGCTTATCCTCGCTCCATATACAAATGGACCACTATCATTTTTAATTCTTTGATATTATATTTCTTATGCATATTGTACATGCATGGACCCCTTGCTTATCCATATGCAGTATTTTATTCTCAGTTTTACAGCGTAACTTTTAACGTGTTGCAAATCAATGTCTATAAAAAGTATTCGCAGTACCTTATGTCTTACTTGTTTAATTATATGACTGGCTGAAATATACAACATTGGTCAAAAAGGTTGTCGCACCCCCATTTCCATGTACTTTTATTTACAAATGATCACCTAACAGGTGTATAGTGTTATAAACGGTGCTTTTTATTCCAGATACCATGTCTGATTAATGGTTCAAAAAATACAAAATAGTGCTGTGAATATGCATATTTTATACCATTTAGTAAAATTTATAACAGGTACCCCCTCAAATCCAATGTTTCACTGTGATTTCTGCAGATGTAAAGAAATGTCTATTAAATTGAAAAGACGACATCAAATGTCACCAAATTTACACATGATTAGCATGAGGATGTGCTCGTTAAAGGTCACGTGCCTAATAGCGTGTGCGTCTACCGCGTACTGCAATTATCTCCTGTAGATGGCGCGACAAGCCTTCAACAAGGGTAAAAATTCTGTTTTGTGGGATATCATCCAATTCTTCCAAAACAGCTTGGGGGAGTTGTTCCCCGTTTTTATGGGGTTGGTTCTCCTCTGCATTGCACACTCCAATTCATGTCACAGGTGAAATCACAGTGAAACATTGGGAGTTCCTGTTATAAATTTGACTAAATGGTATAAAATGTGTACAACCTTTTTGACCAATGTTGTATAAGGTTTATTTATGGAAGCCAGAGGGTTCTTATTGCATAATGCAAAAGGAGGAAATTAAGAAGACTCTTTTTCCCTTGTGGCCTGTAGGTTATGTAAAATTCACTGGTGTCATCTTACTTTCTGTCAGCTTCTTATAGTTCGTGCTCTTTAGAGTGTCTTCAAGGCACGCAAAGCCTTTGGCTATATAGCTTTTATATTATAAAGGCAGTGGCGAGTTAATAGGACATGCTAACCAAGATATATCCAAAATAGAGCAAAAAAAGAAAAAAAGACATAGAGATGCAGGCGATCAAAGTGTTTGTGTGGTACCATAAGTATTGTGAAGTAAGACAACTGCAGTCAAGGAAAAGAATTCTAAAAACACTGTTGTGTGGTGCTGGATTTCCTGCACAGGGCCCTGGATCTACGACATAGTGTACGATAAGAGAAATTTTAGTAGTGTTTTTGTTTGCGGCATCTTGATAAATATTTTCGTTTGTTTGTGAAAACACCATACAATGCATCTATTTTTCCTAACCTTAGCATAACATAGAACTAGGGACACAAATTAAACCCCATTAAAAAAAGCGTTTTAACATAAATTATTTGCCATCACTGTGACCGCGGTTATTACCACGACACTATGTGTACATGTATGCCAAAGATAATGTTTTCGGGGAAATCTACTCGCATTCTCTCGGCCTTTATATATCCATCTATTTTCTACTTAATTAAACAGCTTCGCACGAATTTCATTATTAAAATCTTTAATTCTGTACTTTGTCCGCCTCAATTTCCAAAACTGCTTCTTTATACTCTAATAATAAGCTTTATTCCCTGTATGTACAGAATTTCAATTGTTATTGTAGTTTAAGTACCGTAGTTAGAATACTTTTATTAGCCATAGTCATTGTAAAGATATGCCAAAATGATAACTAAATAAAATTCAACCAGACCTAAAAGCTAAAGTGTATCATTCCAAAACTCGACCCCGCCTTTAATAACATGATATTGATAGGGGGCGGTATTCAACCCATGTGTAGTTTTTCGCTGGTACATTTTGAAAATGTAATCATATCGCATATAAAATTTTTCAAGATTGAAATACAATAATTAATGCTAATATTAAATCAGTAAGATCTCCTGCCCATATAATCGTTAGGTAAACCAAGTCATCCAATTTAATCAGTAAGATCTCCTGCCCATATGATCGTTAGGTAATTCATCTCACGCTGCATCCTTCCTAAATCGTGAAAAGCAAATGACCGGTAAAAGTGAAGTACACACTAGCTCCATTTCCGTGTATGGCATGTCCTTTCGCTAACTTCAGCCAAACCTCGTCTCCAGCCTTCAAATCGAGGATAACTTGGTTGGTTCCGGTTGCAGCGTCGACAGTATCATACCCAAACATTTCTGTTTCGTATGCACCATTGCGAATAAGATACACGCGGCCTGCGGAACCATGGTTGGACAGCATTGTCATGGTGAACATGTAGGCACCGTCAACTGGCGCGCGGAACAAGGAATTGGCAGCGTCGAAGTTGCTTCCGTGGTTACTGAAAATCTTGTCAAACGTGATTTTGATGTCTGTAGTTGATGCCACCAGGTTTTGCGACTTCGACCGTCCAACGGCAAAGGCTATCTTGTCTGGAAATAAATTAGTGAATTGTTGTAAATAGTTGCCACTTGATCACAGTCCAGTGTCTTAAATTCCTTTCGATTTCTCTGTCTGTGAAAAACAGTAACCAAGAATCACACATTGTTGTTTTATTGCAAAAAACCTCACTCACTTTATTCTCAATTAATTTTTATTACACACCATAATACAATTCATAACCAATACATTGTACAGCACGTATTGAATGAATAAAACATCTACAAATTCTATTTCGCGAAAACGCTCGGTTTCGCACATTGTGGTGGTTGTTTGAGTTGCATGTTAAAAGGATATCACCCGTTTCAGGCAGTGTCGTATAGATATGAATTATTTGACATGTCAACTGAGCTTAACCGGAAAGGGAGCGCCCCTGAGGATTTTTATTTTTAACCGGGAAATAGAAGCCTTATCTGCACACAGTGTCGCGATTTCAGCGTGTTGCAATGGGCGTTGTTATCCGTCACAGTGTTGCAATGGGCGTTGTTATCCGTATTAATGTTCTCTTCACAGGAAAACTGAAGGAGATAGAAAAGTTTGGAGGCAGCCAAACCTACACCCCAAGCCCATTCCAAGCGTATCGGTACGGTCCCTTTTCCATAGGCACCATCGGTCTATCTGGATCGACCCAACCCTACGGGGTCAATGGCCAACTGCAATAAGCCTAACTTAATGACACGCCTCCTCCTGGTGTTAAGAAGAATACAAGTATGATGATTATACGAGTACGTTGGAAACAAGAGGAGGCGCGTCGTTCATTTAGGCTGATTGCACTTAGCGAGAGTCTCAGCGAGAGTTGGGTCGATACACGTAGACCGATAATTCTTATGGGAATGGGGTCTTAGGTAGACCGGGGAAAATCTTAAAGCCGACAGGTGTCTCATTTGACTCAACCTACCTGTCTCTGTTTTGTTCCGCATTTCGTTCAGCATCAGTTTTGCAGTCTTGAGATCGGCTGCAAGGCGTTTGTTTTCGTCTTTTGTCAGTTGGAGATCGGTTGAAAGACCCTGTTGTTGTCCAGAAAGTTTCAGCACGAGAGACGACTGCGACTGAAGGGTCTGTTGTAGATTAGTCACCAGAGTTTCTATGTGGTTAAGTTTGGTGTTGTTCCGTCTTTCGGCTTCAATCATTCTTGTTAAACCATTCACCATTTCATGTAATTCTTTCACCTGACAAGAACATTAAGTTAATGTGATTTATCAAAACCATGTGCTGTCAGTAGGATAGATCTTCAGTTCCTCCCTTTACAAGGTATTTGCGTTTTCATTATTCATTTTCTTATAATTGATTAAAGCTTCAACTACTATCTCATCGAAACAAAATACTGAACAATCAATGCAAATCACCGGGATCTGGTAACACCGTTCGTGTCACAAGAAACATTCAAAAGGGTCATGACGTCTTACCTGCCCCTCAGTGCGATCCTGCTGCGCCTGAAGCTTCAAAATCGCAGCAGAGGCGTCGCCCAATTTGGAGATGNGCTGCCGCTAGGAGCCTGGACATTTCCATGTCAACAGATATATCTAGACATGCCTACACGGAGAGAGCGTAGACCAGAACAATGAGCAGAGACAGCGATTGGCCTCAAAATCATGACATCCCCGGAATCTGGAACTTGGTTCCATTGCTGAGGTGTGACCATTCAAGTATCTGTCACTTGTAAACAAAAAAGGAGATTTGGCGAAACGAGGTAGGTCAGAAGGCAAGTACTGTGCTTTCCATCTCCGATTTACATAAACCGCATCATAATCTGCATTCCATTAGAATTGCAGTGAAAATAACTAACACGTAATGTGTATGTCACATATACCAAGGAAGTAGTTTTATTTAGTCTGTGGCACTGTATCTCTATCATCCTGTAACAAAATTGGATTAATTTAAAGTTTTTTTACATAATCTCAAACCTCCAGTTAAGCAAGTAAGTGTTTGTATAACTGCATGGATAGAATTTTCCCAGGGCGAATTTTTTACTTATACACTGTATATTTAGTGGTATATGTCGTGATTAATTGGTTGAGATATGTAGAGACACACAAATGGGTTAATTTCAAAGATTACATTTACTTAAGTAAATGCTTTATTGCCGGTGATTTAAATCAGGTTGAAATGAATGGAAAAGTGTAATTAGCAGTTTTAGCAACGCATGATGTGTTCGACCAAACTTTTTAAAGGATCAGTCGAATCATGACGAAACAAAAAGGTAATGGATTTTCTAATATAAAGTCCCACCATACTTTTAACCTCAGAATCATGAGAGAAGTCTATTCAAAAAGAAGCGAGAGAATGCCAGACGTTTTAAAACATATCTATCAGAGCACAAAAAACAGGGCTCTTGAACACCAGTACGTTTATTACCTATTGTAAATATTTATGTTAAAACAATCAAATTACATCTGGAATAAAGGACTGGTATCAAGGAGCAAAGATTCAGAAATGAAAATAATGAAGAAAGAACGAAAATCGGCACGGAAGTTGTTTTGCATAACATTATCTGAACACATGGCCAATAACATGTTATTGATATCTGCGGTTTCGTGTCAAGTCAACAAATCATTATTCAAGATTGTAGAAGGGTAGTTATAGTGTGTCGGGAAAGGTGAACTACTGTATGCATGTATTTATTTATTTATTTATTTATTTATTTATTTATTTATTTATTTATTTTTCACACCTGAACCCTGTGCTATTTATGTAAACAGAATAAGGTTCGTTAGAGTGTATATTTGTGTACATCCATAGCGCATTAGCACCCAGAAAAATTGCTGAAAAGATAAAACAGAAACAGGTATTGGAAACATAGCTAGAACCAGAGCAGAAATTTTAGTGTTTGGCTGCTTGAATACCTTGATCACATACATGTCGATATATAAGCGTAAGCCATTGCTGAACATCTATTATGAAATGTATATTGGTGCCTGGAGAAGTTTGCAGCACATTGCAGAGCCAAAATACAAATTGATTTCGTCTAACAATTGCATATTAATATAAGTATCTATATATATACATATACAACATTGGTCAAAAAGGTTGTCCCACCCCATTTCCATGTACTTTTATTTACAGATTATCACCTCACAGTTGTAAATTGTTAGAAATAGTGCTTTTTATTCCAGAAACCGTGTCTGCCATGATGAATGGATAAAAAATACAAAATAATGGTGAAAATATACACGTTTTATGCCATTTAGTAAAATTTATAACAGGTACCCCCTCAAATCCAATGTTTCACTGTGATTTCTTCAGATGTAAAGGAATGTCCATTAAATTGAAAAGAGGCCATCAAATGTCACCAAATTTGCACACAATTGGCATTAGGGTGTGCTCGTAAAAGGTCACGTGCCTAATAGCGTGTGCAGCTACCGCGTACTGCAATTATCTCCTGTAGACGGCGCGACAAAACTTCATCACGGGTAACAATTCTGTTTTGTGGGATATTGCCACTTTCTTCTTAAAAAGGGTAGCGGAGTTGGTCCAGTTTATTTGGAAATTGATTCTCCTATGCATTGCACACTCCAAATCATGTCACAGTTGATTAGTAAGGTTATTATTAGGGCTCAAAGATGGTGATTCCATCCTTAGAGCATTGTGTTTCTACAACAAATCACTTGCCAGGCGAGAGGTTTGAGCAAGTGTGCTGTCATAATTAAGCCCGGAGTTAACCCCAAAGTCAGTTCTTAAAGATGGAGTGAGATATCAGCTGAGAATGCTACGTTCAGTGGTCCCACAGGCACCTCAACCTGGCCATCCATCACTGGAAGGAAGAAGGTTTTGATGCTGAATTAGGTTACTTCTTGTATCCCATGGATGGTCAAATGAGGGTCGTAGACATGTTCAAAAATGCCTCTTGGAAGTTGGTGTACAGGATAATATCGCCTGAGGTGTTAGATCAGTCCGAATTCGGAGAACATTCCAAACCCATGGTATTAGTACATTTTTCCTTTTGTAACAAAACGTAGCGGGGGCATTTTACTTTAACATTCTCAACGGATAGCTCACTCCATTTGCAAGAGGGGACTTCAGAGATGCTACAGGCATCATTGTGACAACGCAGTTGCTCACAGCTCTTGTCTGGCAAGCGATTTCTTGCAGAAACACGGGGCTCTGAGGATGGGTCAACCGTCTTTGAGCCCTGATATTAATCCTACTGAGCACCTGTGGCATTAATTGGAATGTGCATGGCAGAGGAGAACCAATTTCCAAATAATCTGGGCCAATTCCGCCACGCTCTTTAGGATGAATGGGACAATATCCCACAAAACAGAATTTTAACCATTGTTGAAGACTTGTCGCGCCGCCTACAGGAGATAGTTGCAGTACGCGGTAGACACACGCGCTATTAGGCACATGACCTTTAAAGAGCACACCCTATAATGCTAATTGTGTGTAAATTTGGTGACATTTGATGGCCTTTTTCAATTTAACAGACATTTCTTTACATCTGTGGAAATCACAGTGAAACAGTGGATTTGAGGGGGTACCTGTTATAAATTTGACCAAATGGTATAAAATTTGCATATTTATACCACTATTTTGTATATGCTGAACCATTCATCATGTTAGACATGGAATCCGGTATAAAAAGCACCGTTTATAATAAATAACATCTGTGAGGGGATCATTTGTAAATATAAGTACATGGAAATGGGGGTGGGACAACCTTTTTGACCAATGTTGTATATCAACATCGACTCTAAAGAGGGATTGATAGGTAGATATGCGTTTAGAGAGAAAGTGATATTTCCCGGTTTGTGGTGATCGCTCTCTACACCGACCCCTTACTCTCAGTTCATTGGCCAGCAGTGGTGACTCTTAACCGGATGCTGGTGTCCGTCAGGTTCTCTAAACAGCCAATCGGCTTAGTTCGTTTCTGATTCAATGTTTACCGTCAATGTTATCGGGAATCATGGTTTTTCTTCTTCCTCGTCCGTAATGTGAGTTAATGCAATCAATTGAAACGATAAGATGAAATACTGTATTGCTATGTGATTTTTATTCTCTCTCTCTTTCTAAAATTATGAGGTGGTAGTGATGGCGGGGGTAGGGGGGAGGTCGATGAACGTAATAACTGATGTGCAAGCTTCTGATTTTTTTTTTCAAATAGTGCATTTTGACATATTCTAAGATGTCAAACAGTAGGTGTGTTGGCGGCTGTCTAACATATTGGAAATATAACAAAAAGAGGATACTTAGTATGCACGCGTAAGCGGTAAGTGTGATTTTAGTTTAAAAATATTAATTTGCATTGATAAAATTTCCAGATTTCACAAGTTCGGGAGGTTATATACTGTCGATCCAAGCAGATAAACGAACTGACAACAAGGAGCGGTTCAGAAATGGCCTCAGGCTGCAGAAATGATGCAAAGGGGGTGTCGTTTGATCTAACGGCAGCCAGTATATCAGACACTGCAAAATATGTCCCCGATACCCCAAGGAAGCCATTCATAAACATTGTAGCCCCCGACAGATCAGGGCGCTCTCACAGGGGAAGGTCGGACGATTCTGGCATTTTTATGGTAGTAAATATAGGTCAGAATACGACGCCCGGAACCCACGGGGAAGAGCAGACCATAGAAATGGCTCGATTTTCAGGAGCGGATTCCACGGAGGAAACTGTTATATCATTAGGGGAAACCAGCAGATCCACGTCCAGTTCTGCCACAGCCAGCTCAGACAATAGGATGTCGGTCAGGTACCTGAAGGTGAGTGATTATGGTTGCTGCCGTATACTGACACTGTAGGCACACGATTTTCGTATTATGATTTTTTCAATCCCATGTATACTGTATGCCACAGTACTTTTATCAGAATAACCACTTCCATTTGCTACACGCAGGGGGGGGGGGGGGGTATTTCAAAGTGCACAAGATTTTGCGTAATTTACGATGAACTCCGTATTATCAGCTGAGTGTTATAAGAAGAAGATGTTAGTCTGTCTCCAAATGGTGCAACATGCCCAGTGACATATTCATTAACGCATCCAGTAGAATTAACAATTTCTAGCTCTCAAATGCCTTATAACTGCAGTTATATCAGACGCCAAGTGCATAGCAAACATTTTTGAAGGAGTTGTCTGAATTGCCGTCGAACACACTTTGGCGAACAACCGTCAAAGGCCAATATCAGCTAAACTGATGAATTCAAAATGTTGCGTTTGAACAACGCAGATTGGTTCTAATTACTTCCTGTATGAGATTCGTCTTTAATTTCAGGGGATAAATATATGTGAGAGCCAACTGCCTTACGTGGGTTGTTTTATCCATAAATAGCAGGCTATTTCATTACGTATGTCGAGAAGGGATGACAATTACTCAAATGTCAATTCTCACAAAACGAAATGCAACACGCACAGTCATGGCGTAAATCATTAATGTAGTATTTATAGCACTTTGTTATTTACGGTTGATTATACTGAAATGTTGACGTGTAAGTTTTAGCGTATTAATTTCATTTTCATCTGGATAAAAGGAGAAAAGTGTCGAAAGCCAAATGTAGGTCGTTGGGTGGGTGTGTGAGTAGAAACACCCCTTTTTTCCTTGGACTGGGGGTGCGGGGGGGGGGGGGGTAAGTACATGCCCTTAATACAAATATTGAAAATCTGGTCATAGAAACAATACACATCAGCCTGAGCTATGGTAGTCGCACGTATGATTTCATCTGCTTTTTCAGCGAACTTTTCAACGGGTAAGATATAATGCGCTTTTATGCTACTCATTTGGTACAGACAGAGTGTGTTAGCCGTTGTTTTTTTTCTATTATTTCTTCGTTTCATTTCAGAAAAAATTCGCTGAGGTTGAGATCGAGGAGTTGTATCAGCTGTACTGGCTCCGGTCTCAGCGTGCCTCCTTTAGGGCGCTTCTCGCGGTGCTTGTCCTCTACGCAGTGGTGCTAGTGTTGCTCTTCCATTTCCACCACAATGTAAGTTGACTGAATCATCTTTGTCTCTTTCGGAAACCGTGTCACGTTTTAAAGACCCTTTGTGAGTGACGTCACAACTGACTCAATGATGTCACATACTACCTCAATGACGTCACATTTCGCACGATGGACATAAGGTATAGATTTGATAATAATCGTAATTTGTATTTGAGGATTATGTACCACATGCTATTATTTAGTGCATTACAATGTTCCATCTAATTATATCATAACGTCGTTTTATATATTTATATTTCATAATTTCTGAGTTAATCAAATGTCTCCAGCAATCAAATCACATATTTCATTTTTCTTCAGGGCAGCCTCGGATTACAAAACAGCACAAATACCATGGGTAGAAACCTGAACATTGTTGTGATCACAGGCGGAATTCTAGCCATCATCCTCTTCATTCTTGTCTCAATCGAAAAAGTATTTCTACTCTTTTCGAAACCACTGACTCTTCTGGTATGGTTTTCTTTGTTATCCCTAGCTTTTGGATTCAGTGGGATACTTTACAGTCCCTCAAACCCGTCGTTCTCACCCCGCACTGCGATGGACGACGTACCAACTATTCTATACACCATCTTCGTAGTGCACACAATTTTACCACTCAGCCGAAAGTGGTCCATTATCTTAGGATCACTGACAGCGCTTGCAAGCCTTATTTTCTCGGGTGCGCTGTTTAATAGATTGGTCCTGAGCAACTTGGGGTGCACAGACATCTTGCTTCAACAGGTATTTAATTATTCGCTCGCTTTTTCTCTTTCGTGATTAGATTCATTCATGCATGTGTACTCCTCTACATACCATATTTACAGGGTTCATCCGTAATACAGTGTATGTAACCTGTAATTTATTATATGGAAATGCACTGATGCAAAAATAGATCAATAAATAGACACACTGTAAATCCATAGATAAATCCATATATTCTTTATTTAGGACCATCATTCTTTCTAAATTGCATGATAATTTTATCGTTTCAGAACATCAATCAGTATATATTCCTATTCTAATTTTGATTAAGGTATCGACTTAGTCTATAATATACTTTCCTGGTTGTTTGTAATTCTTCATTAAAACTTTCATTCGAACTTTTCATACAGATATTGGCTAACTTTATGATCTACCTCGGCGCTAATCTCACAGGCCTGTACCACAAACACTTGACAGATCTGGCCCACAGACACACCTTTCTGGACGCCAGAAGTGTGCTCCAAACCAACAGTTGTCTACAGAAAGAACGAATTCTGCAGGTAATAATGCCTCGTTCAACCAATGTTTTAATTCATCGACATTGGTTTACTTGTGGATAAGAGAACTGAGAAAGGTCTTTCCTCACTTTTACGTGTTTTGGAGGAACAATTCAAAAAGAAGAAATGTTTACAGTTTAAATTGAACTCAGGTCTCCTATTTTTTTTATTTTCTAATTTATTTTATTCTTATTAGCATTTTGGTTTCGTGGAGATCGGTGCTGTGAGTGTTTGATCAAATAAACTTTATCGCCAAGCAATACTAGTACTGTACTGACGTTTCATTACAATTTTGCGACTTATCATGTCGATACATTAACATTTGTGCCGAAGCCACATTTACCTTTAAAATGTGTCAAGCGAAAGAACGAAAAAACACATCTAAACTATGTGTCATAAGATCGACGAATACTGTACTACTTTTTCTAGCCTTGATCTTCTCCATTTAATTCCAAACCTGCAAAAGCTAACCACAACCTTTGACAACGCCGCTTAACAGTGCGTAATGCGTTGCGTGTGTACTTGTATTAAAATTTCTCAGCTAAAGTGTGCAAGTAATAATCTCACCCTCTTGAATGTGGCATTTTTTAACCTAATCAATCAACTAGTCTTACGAAGGAATTCAATCCATCAAAACAACATGCAAACAAGAACAAAAAGACAATTGTACTACCGCGAGCGAAGTTTATATAATTTATATCTAATACTTTTGTTGTTCATCAGAACACGTGAAAATTTTCTCGTTACGAATTCTACGCCACCTGTTGTCGTGCCGCGTAGTGCGGTGTAAGCACAGTAATTGTATGAATCAATTTGTGCAATTCAGCAATGTTACACCATCTCTTTGAAGCAGTTTTATACCCATTCTGCTGTGTCATCTCTTCGAAAGGATAAATCATCCCAGACAAAATAAACCCCAAATAAAAATGCAACGTTGGCCCTAGCATTGCACATATTGTGGTTCCTATCCAACATCTACTGGATGTTTCATGTCGGCACGAGTTTGATCTCATGTGGTCTTAGTACTTGGATTTTAATCCTGTAACTGAAGAATCCGTCCGTGTCCACGCCGTCCATCCGTAACTAAACAAATGGCCACTGCTCTAGCAAAGAAGGAATTTGTCTTTTCGCCCAATACTAGAGTCGCCGAAAATGGGGAGAGCCCCAATTTTTTAATAACGAAAAGAAATTATTCTAAACATCTCTCAACTTTTTCTTCATCATCAAAGGAAAGCCTGCTTCTGAAGATTATACCGGCGTACCTGTTGGACGACATGAAAGAAGTCCTCTACAGAAAGTTACTGCTGGAAGCCGTTGAAAAAGAGGAATTCGATGATTCATTAAGGTACGTTTTATATAGTGTGTCCATATTACGGTTGCATGTACATGTACCACTTGCATGTATTATACATTTTAATGTTGCGTTTACTGTGCACTAATTTTTCGCTTCAAAATCACACAGATTTCAAAATTCAGAGTAAGGTTTTAACTTACATCGTTTAATTCCTTCGCTATTTTCTATTATCATTTCATTTCATTTTGATTTATTTGCTCATTTTGTGAATTGGAGTTGGGGGAGGAAGTCGTTGACTCAAAGGTTGCAATCAACATTCCTCTTTGTAATCTTCTTGTATGCGCAGCTTCCTCTTCTTCTGACGGAGATTTATTATATGGTAGATATGCATTTATATGAAAAAAATCCTGCAATTGATACTGAGAGCCAGTTCAGTGACACAGGCATTTGTGCCAGGGCGCAGCAAGCCTAGCAACCTACTTTAACCTACCAGTTATCCGCAAGAGCTTATCCTCGCTCCATATACAAATGGACCACTATCATTTTTAATTCTTTAATATTATATTTCTTATGCATATTGTACATGCATGGACCCTTCCTTATCCATATGCAGTATTTTATTCTCAGTTTTACAGCGTAACTTTTAACGTGTTGCAAATCAATGTCTGTAAAAAGGATTCGCTGTGCCTTATGTCTTACTTGTTTAATTATATGACTGGCTGAAATATACAACATTGGTCAAAAAGGTTGTGATACCCCCATTTCCATGTACTTTTATTTACAAATGATCACCTAACAGGTGTATAGTGTTATAAACGGTGCTTTTTATTCCAGATACCATGTCTAACATGATTAATGGTTCAAAAAATACAAAATAGTGGCGAGAATATGCACATTTTATACCACTTAGTAAAATTTATAACAGGTACCCCCTCAAATCCAATGTTTCACTGTGATTTCTACAGATGTAAAGAAATGTCTATTAAATTGAAAAGTCGACATCAAATGTCACCAAATTTACACTTGATTAGCATAAGGATGTGCTCGTTAAAGGTCACGTGCCTAATAGCGTGAGTATCTACCGCGTACTGCAATTATCTCCTGTAGATGGCGCGACAAGCCTTCAACAAGGGTAAAAATTCTGTTTTGTGGGATATTATCCCATTCTTCCAAAACAGCTTGGGGGAGTTGGTCCACGTTTTTATCGGGTTGGTTTTCCTCTGCATTGCACACTCCAATTTATGTCACAGGTGAAATCACAGTGAAACATTGGATTTGAGGGGGTACCTGTTATAAATTTGACTAAATGGTATAAAATGTGTACAACCTTTTTGACCAATGTTGTATAAGGTTTATTTATGGAAGCCAGAGGGTTCTTATTGCATTATGCAAAAGGAGGAAATTAAGAAGACTCTTTTTCCCTTGTGGCCTGTAGGTTATGTAAAATTCACTGGTGTCATCTTACTTTCTGTCAGCTTCTAATAGTTCGTGCTCTTTAGAGTGTCTTCAAGGCACGCAAAGCCTTTGGCTATAGAGCTATTATATTATAAAGGCAGTGGCGAGTTAATAGGACATGCTAACCAAGATATATCCAAAATAGAGCAAAAAAAGAAAAAAAGACATAGAGATGCAGGCGATCAAAGTGTTTGTGTGGTGCCATAAGTATTGTGAAGTAAGACAACTGCAGTCAAGGAAAAGAATTCTAAAAACACTGTTGTGTGGTGCTGGATTTCCTGCACAGGGCCCTGGATCTACGATATAGTGTATGATAAGAGAAATTTTAGTAGTGCTTTTCTTTACGGCATCTTGATAGATATTTTCGTTTGTTTGTGAAAACACCATACAATGCATCTATTTTTCTAACCTTAGCATAACATAGAACTAGGGACACAAATTAAACCCCATTACGTAAAAAAAGCGTTCTAACATAAATTAATTGCTATCACTGTGACCGCGGTTGTTACCACGACACTATGTGTACATGTATGCCAAAGATAATGTTTTCGGGGAAATCTACTCGCATTCTCACGGCCTTTATATATCCATCTATTTTCTACTTAATTAAACAGCTTTGCACGAATTTCATTATTTAAATCTTTTATTCTGTACTTTGTCTGCCTCAATTTCCAAAACTGCTTCTTTATACTCTAATTATAAGCAATGTATGTAAAGAATATTAATTGTAATTGTAGTTTAAGTAGAATACTTTAATTAGCCATAATCATTAGCCATAGTTATGTAAAGATATACCAAATTGATAACTAAATAAAATTCAACCAGACCTAAAAGTTAAAGTGTATCATTCCAAAACTCGACCCCGCCTTTAATAACATGATATTGATAGGGGGTGGTAATCAACCCATGTGTAGTGTTTCGCTGGCACATTTTGAAAATGTAATCATATCGCATATAATATTTTCAAGATTGAAATACAATAATTAATGCTAATATTAAATCAGTATGATCTCATGCCCATATCATCGTTAGGTAAACCAAGTCATCCAATTTAATCAGTAAGATCTCCTGCCCATATGATCGTTAGGTAATTCATCTCACGCTGCATCCTTCCATTAAATCGTGAAAAGCAAATGACCGGTAAAAGTGAAGTACACACTAGCTCCATTTCCGTGTATGGCATGTCCTTTCGCTAACTTCAGCCAAACCTCGTCTCCAGCCTTCAAATCGAGGATAACTTGGTTGGTTCCGGTTGCAGCGTCGACAGTATCATACCCAAACATTTCTGTTTCGTATGCACCATTGCGAATAAGATACACGCGGCCCGCGGAACCATGGTTGGACAGCATTGTCATGGTGAACATGTAGGCACCAGCAACTGGCGCGCGGAACAAGGAATTGGCAGCGTCGAAGTTGCTTCCGTGGTTACTGAAAATCTTGTCAAACGTGATTTTGATGTCTGTAGTTGATGCCACCAGGTTTTGCGACTTCGACCGTCCAACGGCAAAGGCTATCTTGTCTGGAAATAAATTAGTGAATTGTTGTAAAGTTGCCACTTGATCACAGTCCAGTGTCTTAAATTCCTTTCGATTTCTCTATGTCTGTGAAAAACAGTAACCAAGAATCACACATTTTCCTCACTATGGTGTTGTTTTATTGCAAAAATCCTCACTCACTTTATTCTCAATTAATTTTTATTACACACCATAATACAATTCATAACCAATACATTGTACAGCACGTACTGAATGAAGAAAACATCTTCAAATTCTATTTCGCGAAAACGCTCGGTTTTGCACATTGTGGTGGTTGTTTGAGTTGCATGTTAAAAGGATATCACCCTTTTCAGGCAGTGTCGTATAGATATGAATTATTTGACATGTCAACTGAGCTTAACCGGAAAGGGAGCGCCCCTGAGGATTTTTATTTTTAACCGGGAAATAGAAGCCTTATCTGTACACAGTGTCGCGATTTCAGCGCTTGCAATGGGCGTTGTTATCCGTATTAATGTCCTCTTCACAGGAAAACTGAAGGAGATAGAAAAGTTTGGAGGCAGCCAAACCTCCACCCCAAGCCCATTCCAAGCGTATCAGTAAGGTCCCTTTTCCATAGGCACCATCGGTCTATCTGGATCGACCCAACCCTACGGGGTCAATGGCCAACTGCAATAAGCCTAACTTAATGACACGCCTCCTCCTGGTGTTAAGAAGAATACAAGTATGATGATTATACGAGTACGTTGGAAACAAGAGGAGGCGCGTCGTTCATTTAGGCTGATTGCACTTAGCGAGAGTCTCAGCGAGAGTTGGGTCGATACACGTAGACCGATAATTCTTATGGGAATGGGGTCTTAGATAGACCGGGGAAAATCTTAAAGCCGACAGGTGTCTCATTTGACTCAACCTACCTGTCTCTGTTTTGTTCCGCATTTCGTTCAGCATCAGTTTTGCAGTCTTGAGATCGGCTGCAAGGCGTTTGTTTTCGTCTTTTGTCAGTTGGAGATCGGTTGAAAGACCCTGTTGTTGTCCAGAAAGTTTCAGCACGAGAGACGACTGCGACTGAAGGGTCTGTTGTAGATTAGTCACCAGAGTTTCTATGTGGTTAAGTTTGGTGTTGTTCCGTCTTTCGGCTTCAATTATTCTTGTTAAACCATTCACCATTTCATGTAATTCTTTCACCTGACAAGAACATTAAGTTAATGTGATTTATCAAAACCATGTGCTGTCAGTAGGATAGATCTTAAGTTCCTCCCTTTACAAGGTATTTGCGTTTTCATTATTCATTTTCTTATAATTGATTAAAGCTTCAACTACTATCTCATCGAAACAAAATACTGAACAATCAATGCAAATCACCGGGATCTGGTAACACCGTTCGTGTCACAAGAAACATTCAAAAGGGTCATGACGTCTTACCTGCCCCTCAGTGCGATCCTGCTGCGCCTGAAGCTTCAAAATCGCAGCAGAGGCGTCGCCCAATTTGGAGACGACGTCCTGGGACTCGGAACCGGCGGCCGTGGCTTGGCCGCTGTTGCCACAAAGACCCTGGTTGTGTGACAGTTGGAATTTATAGACACAAGCGCCGTCTTCAAAGGTGCAGCCGTTTGGCTCAGGTTTTGATCCAGGTTTTTGTGTAACAGGCGACCCGGTCTGAGCGAATGTGCTGGTACAGGCTTGGCAGACGAACAATGTAAGAACAATCTCAAGTCTGAGAAGATACATTTTAACTCTCTCGTTTCGTCCTATCCGTCAGTTACAAAAATGCAAAATTAATATGTCTTCTTCTGTGACCGAGTGGTTTGGTGACGTATCTTGTACGCTGGCTTTATATACGGGGTTTGTACCGGTCAATTTCGTGAGTTTCGTGCTGTGGGCCAACCGCGGTTTATGGAAAGAATTAAACCAGTACATAGGGCCTTTGACTGGTGCAGCACTTCTTGCCTGGATCTATCACTATGGACGACATGGTGCACGATAAGATTTCATATGCGGTATCTTCAGAGATATTTTCGTATCCTTGTGAATACATCATTTGAATGCAGCTATTTATCAAATTTTCAAATTGCGTTAAAGCAAAACATGGTGCTTCGGAAACAAATTAAACACGCGCCCCTTATGCACCTGCACGTACAAACAATGTTGATATTTGTTGTCGTTGTAATCAAGGTTGTTGCTACGTATGTGAAAGATAATGCTGTCAGGGGAATTTACTCACATTGCTTCCAACTTCTACTTTATTTATCTATCTATTATCTATTTTCATTAATCTATCCATATACAGTTTACGCAGGAACTAATTTCTTCGTTAATTAATTCATTAATTTTATCTATTATTTATTTATTTATTTACAGCTCTCCCTACAGCCAACTGACCGAGTCAAGGGATGCTCTGGTCAAAAGAATGGTCAGTGCGCTGCGAAGAAAGACGACTGAGCAGTTCCATACCTTCCTTATTTCTAAACACGAAAACGTTAGGTAACTTGCATTTAATCCAGCGCCTAATGATGAGGTGATAAATGTGCGGAAGGGGAAATCCTGTCGTTAGCAGCGTGACTTCCTTAATCCAAAACGCGAAAATGTCAACTACCTGCCAGGTCATTTGTACTGATAATATATTGGATATAAAGGAACAAAAAGATAAAAATAGATAAATGAATAAAACATATGGGATGAAGGTTACACTTATAACTTATGTTTACCAAAGCAATTTATTTGTTTTTATTTATTTATTTATTTATTTATTTATTTATTTATTTATTTATTTATAAGCTAATTATAACTTTTTGTCTCCACACGCACTTTTTCTTTCTATAAAATTAAATAAAGGTAGTTAGTTTAATTATTTTTGTTTCTTGAAAATGTCTAGGTTCCTTTTATTTCAATTAGCCTGCATGTATACTAATTTGCTTATTTTGTAGCATTCTCTATGCTGATATCGTGAGTTTCACACGCCTGTCAGTGAATCTAACTCCGTCCGAACTGGTGATAGCTCTGAATGAACTCTTTGGAAGGTTTGATCAGCTTGCTAAGGTAAGGGATACGTGACAGTCGCTGTCTTTTTTATTTTTTATTATAGCTGTCAGATTTATATCGTATACACTGCGGGTAATGATGACGTAAGCGGTTTTATGAAGAACCCAATGCATAGTTCTAGAAAAATACATCCCATGAGAGTTCCTTGTTAAAAATTTTGATAATTAAAAAATGTCATCATTTTGCGAATGAATCATGATATTTTGGACGTGCGATAAAAGGTTCACCTAAGTGACGTACAGTGTACTATAAAGAATATTAGATGCCAGAAAGTGTTTCAGTACGTTTGCTACAGATCTTCACCAGTGTTTTGCCAATGCTATAGGTAATTTTCTTTGATGCGAAAGAAATACATGTACAATACGTTTAAGTAAAACACCAAATATCCTACTACTATCTTTTTTATATACCCATGGTTTTTTCTTAGAGGCGTTGGTTATTTTTTAACACCAAAGTCTCAACTAACTGTATATTTACTAACTCGACGCTTTGATTTTCTAGGACAATCATTGCTTACGTATCAAGATTCTTGGCGACTGTTATTATTGTGTTTCGGGCATGCCAGATCCTTCCCCAAATCACGCGAGAAACTGCGTGGTTATGGGACTACAGATGATTGAGGTTATAAGGTTCGTGTTGATCCTGATTATGTTTTATTATTTATCGTATTCTTAGTTGATTACAGTTAAAATTATTTTTGTTAGTTTGTTAAATCAACCAACATTTTTTATTCATGTTGGCATATATGGCATTGGTAAACCATTAGATGACCTGCAAAATGTTTTTATTGTCCAATTTTAGAGAAATCCGTGAACAAACTGGAATCATGAGCTTGGACATGAGGATTGGTATTCACACTGGAACCGTCCTAAGCGGAGTGCTTGGACTCCGGAAGTGGCAGTATGACGTATGGTCTGATGACGTCACAATTGCCAACATGATGGAAACGACAGGAAAGGCAGGGTAATAATTCAAGATGCAGTAAGAAGTGTGTTTTAAACAGAGATACAAACACGCTGCATAGAAAGAAAGGCTTCGATAAACAACATACTGTAGATGTAGATTCATAACTGCAATGAATAAGAAACAAAATTTCCATCAACTCACTCATGTTAGATTACATAATAGGAACCAGAAGCTAAGAAGTGTGCAGGACATTTATGAATGGTTCCGAAACGTTTAGTCGAAACAGGTTACCAATAGTAGCTATAGAAAAATGCAGATACAAGATGTTTGTGTGTGTGTGTGTGTGGGGGGGGGGGGTAATTGGGTTCACAATGATCTGCTATGCACTAGGCAGTGGTGTAGATACTCCCAGTAGTCTGATATAATCAGCAATGTGAATTTATCTCGGGTATGTTTGAACAAATCCACATATATATTTAACTGAGTCTCCCCTTTACACATAGGCAAACTTTTTTTTTGTTTCGTGGGCACGTGATTTATTTTGTTTCTCACCTCATTTCATATCGTAGAGCTGTCCACATATCGGAAACCACTTTGAGGGAAATTCTACCCAGTGAGATACGATATCGTCCTGGGCCGGACTTCACATCGTCAGCCAAAGGCATTGAGAGGATGAAGACCTACTTTATATATCCAGACGAGGTAAGCAGATATTTAAGAAGAAAAGTTTGAGCTTACAAATGCACCAATGAACTATAACAGTCTGCAGAAGTAGTATAAATATGGCTCTCATATAAGGTCACAAAAGAAAGCACATAGATTATGTATCACAACTACTGGTACATGTATGTCACAAGACAACCCTTGCAAAAGCGATAGATCTACTGCTTTTACCTCTCAAATTCAATTATATCACTTCCGAGTTCCTAGTTCTGCTGGAAACTAGCTTGCATTATCAGCATAGATAAACCTATGTCCATAGGTACTGTATATTGTTTCGACATATACTTATGTCTATGACCAGGAGTGTTTGCTTGGTAGAGTAAATCCACCGTCAGAACTATTAAAACCCATAAAGATGGCCAGTTACATGGATATCATCAATAATAAATCTTCTCATTTTAAGCATCATCATGCTGACAAACCAGTGCAACATTATTATAATATCATAAATTAGAAGAAAGCTATTATATAACTAATGGTAATGCTGGTGACTTTATAAGTCCACAGGGATGGGCTGATATTTATATATATTCGTCACAGAAATAAATCTATTTAGCTAATACTCTACCATAATAGAATTTGTCATTTTAGACGCCCGCCTTGGTCACGCACTCCCCCCATTCACTCCACCGTCTCCGGAGCGTGAATCCCGGGCTGGAGCGACATCAGTCGGTGGTTGACGTTCTTGCTGAATGGGGCGCCGAGAAACCTTTCGACAGCATATCCGACTTTATGCTGGCAAAAACACAACCCGTGAGTTGTTTACGCTTCTCTTTATCATATTAAGTTTGTTTCGACGCTTGCTTCACGAAAATGTGGGTAGTCTTGTCGATGTTATTATCTGAATACGGCTTATTTTTCGTGAGATTTTGATAATATGATTTAGAGGACTGTATTCAGATGTTTTAGTGCAGCGTTAAGGTAAGATTTGTTTTCGCTCGTGCAAGTGTTTCGTGAACCTGCCGAGTCAATGCATTTTATTATCATCATTCATCTAGATTTTCCTTTCGTGACAAACCAATGCAGGGAGCATTACACGATATATGTAACATTCAAAAATTGTGAAACACATAAAGAATTTATATATATTATGTGTTTCACAATTCTTGAACCTAATCTTTTAGGCCCAGTACACAATCTGTGAAGGACTGACATCAGATCAAAAAGAAGTCAACGAAAGTCTGAAACGAGGCTTTCACCTGGAAGAGTCACTGGATTCTGGGGAGAAAAGGTACAGTTATCTGAGATAGTGTTTTTAGGACTGTCTAGAAAGATGTCATGCAATATTAAAAACTGTGGCCAGCTAATTGAGTTTTCAAATAAAGAAGAGTTTATGAAAATTTGAAAAAAGCTACAAAGATACTCCTATTCCTACGTTTATATTTTTTCATTCTAGAGATTTGGACGCAAAATCATACATAAACTCCGTCGCTCTGATGTTTCGAGATCCTAAAACAGAAGTGCAATACAGCCTTCAGCGAGACACGTTATTTAAATACAACGTGGGTTGTGCTTTTCTTATCTACATTGTGATTGGTGCCGTTCAGTTCATTGCCTTACCCAAGTGAGTGAAGGATTTTGGTTGGTCTGTACCTCGCAATCACGCAGTAGTCAACATTTTTTTTTTTTGCGACCAGTGTACAATGAATGTCAAGGAGAGAATTTTAGCTCGAGGGCAAATATAATTCAGTGGAAAGAAATGTAAGGCAATTTGGATTCTTCTATCAGGGTAGATTTGCGAGCAACAAGGTTAAATGAGCAAATCCCTGGCAAAAATGGCAAACCTTAAATCAACCAATTTGTAAGGTCACAGAGCTTTTATAACTTGTTGACCTATCTAGTTTTCACTGAGTTTAGGCTTGTTATTCAATAATAAATCTAAGTTTAATGTAAAATATGTGTTTGAAAAAAAAAGAAAATCAAGTTTAGCTGTTTTGTGACCATGGGCGATTTATTTTTCTTTGCAGGAAAAACACTCTTTTCATAACGTTTGCTGGGGGGTCGATGTTTTTTCTGGTAGTTCTATTTTTCACAAAGCGAACAGTAAGTATATGGCGCCTATATTACCGAGTTTCTAATTGATTTGCTACTTCTGCCTGTCAGTTGAATCATTTTGATGTGATAAACAAACGAAACTGATAATCCAAGAAATGCCAAGGTTTAATTGAAATTATCTGAGATACAGTTAGCATAAAAACGAGGCTGCCTGTACTTCGACGTGCCATACAAGCCTAGAAAACGCGCGAGAATCCTCGTAGGGTAGTCGTTAACTTGTCAGCGATAAATATAAAGGTCAAACAGTTTAACTATTTGCGTCGAGAACGTCGTTTTAGAAATGTTGAATTGTAAGACAGGTACATGGTCTTTATCATTTCAGGACCATGCAAGAAGTTGCTTTGACTTCATCATAAGAACCATCAAACGACCCAAACTAAAAGAGAAACAAAGACGACATGTGAATAAAATTCTTCGCACGATGACTGCCGGCGTCTGTCTAGCCGTTATTTTTATATCGTGTTTTATAACTGTGGTAAGTTGCTTGTTGTCTGTGGTCGTTCATAAAAGCTGGGACAGCATGAATCTGGGACAGTATCGAAAAAAGAACTACACTTAAGTCTAAACTTAAATCAAAACTAACTTCGTTCATTGTTCCCAAAGAATCTATAGGCCTACTTGAACTGATATGCCAAAAATTTTATAGTTATAGAACTAGTAACTTTAAAAAGGATAAAAACCACTAAGATTCGCGCACACACACGTGCTCGCTCGCCTATCTAACAATTTAAGTTTTATGAGTCTAGAGGATTTCGCCTATTACTTAATAATGAATATAACATATCTTCAGTGATTTTTACCTTTAACAGTCAACAGGTTTAAGTGGAACCCATTTTTATTGATTCATCAAATTCTTTTTTTCTGCATCCAGATAGATTGCAAAGATTTTACGCAACAACCTTATGTAAATACCACGAGCTGCAGTTTGGTGGAAGAAGATTTTTGTCTGTTGGCAACGGTGAGATTTATTATTCGACTCAAAACTTGAAGAGCGAACTACAGGAATGTAACAATAAATACATTGTTCAGAGCTCGTTATATTGCATGTGCTATAAAAGGAAATGTCAATTTTGCCTTTAGCGTGTTCTGGGTATTGCGTTTTGGACTAATTCATTTCCCTCTACCTTTGCATCTGTACATGTAGCTGTGAAATATAAAACCGAGTTGGTTATCATGTTCAGCGTACTCCATTTATATAATTGGAGTTTTGGGACCAGAAAATCTAGTGATGCAGTCCTCGTTACGTGTCTATAAAATATAGGAGGCCTCGTCGTTAAGAAAAATTGGCCTCGTAATACCCAAACATTTAATTCTGATCAACTGGTGAATACCTTGTTCTCAGGACAATATAAATTTGATGAAACTAAACAGAGTACCTACATTTCGCTTGTTAAATTTTACTTTATTATCTACACCCTCCAGTATTTTGTGTACACCCGAGCCTTTTATTTTAAAAACCACCCAAATACATTAGAATATTTCCATTAAGTGCATTAGGAATGCGGCAGGCTATAACCTTTAACACTATTGTCTTATTTAAAATTTCAGTATTACGTCCACATGTGCATGCTGGCACTAATAGCCTGCAGCGTGTTCCTGAAGCTCTACTTCATGGTGAAAATCGGATTCATGGTTCTTTGTCTGGTGCTGTACAACGTGCTATTCTACCAGCATAAATTTGTATTCACGACCTTCAGCACCGTCATGCAGTAAGTCATAGGTGTTTCCAAACTATACATGTACGAAATTCATGTGGAAGTGAGATGGGTTTGATGTCAGCTAAAAATTAGGTTTAGAATTCAGTAATAACGATTTTACCTTGAGAAGATATGATTAAGCACGTTTGCAGGGATGTATTTCTCTCCGCCAGGGGTCTCTGCAGTTTGTTACAAAACTGAATTGTGTAACAAATTGCAGAGACTCCTGGTGTGGCGTATGCCATTTTCGAGATCCAAATCCTATAAGAGACTGGGACTCCACCCAGGCGAGATTGCAATTGTACATTCAAAACAACTGATTAAGCGGGCTTTTCAGGTTATTCGAAAACTAATACTAATATGCAATTTGGAAAACTTCAGTAATACCTAAGGGTTAACAAACCAATAAAGAATGGAAATTAAATCTTTACGGAACAGACAGTAGCGTAGATTTAATTTTTTCAGCACTACTTTCGTCTGAGTATCATATGATGGTTTATTTCTGTTCTTTTCTAATGGCAATAAAAACTGGATGAGGCAAAATATGAATTCTAATTCCTTGGGTTATTTGTAATCTAGGCAATTAGAAAGCTTCTATTATAATAATCGTACTTTTTGTTCCTCTTTTTTACAGTTTTACGTCAACTGCGAAATCTAATCATAATGTGTGGAGTACAGAAATACGAGGCAGCTTATATCTGGGCGTACTCCTGTTCACTTTGATAGTTCACGACAGACAGGTCTGTATATGCAAAAATATTATATTTACTGAATGTGATTTAGTTCTGTGAGTTTTGATACCTCGAATGGATAGTGACATGTTTTTGTATTAAGGTCAGGAAGGGGCGCCCCTAGCAGAACTCTTAAGCTTCAAAAAGGAAACCAAAGCCCCATCCATACGGCCACTGTGAATGTTGCAAACCTTTTTGGCAATCAATTTTTAGACAAATTTTTATTATCACTTGTAATAATACTTGTAAAAATTTGTGTTATGCAAACAAAAAAATTTTCCCAGTTAGATGTGCATTTGGGTTGGTTTTTGTAAATGAGCTGTTTTCTTATATAATAATAATAATATTTCTATTGATAGTCTAAAATCCATAAAAATGTGTTCTGTAGACTTAACAATTAAAATGCAAACTTCAAATGACCATTTTAAATTGAAAAGTAGTGGTATTAAAAGTAAAAAGAAAAATGCCCATTATAATGTATTTACAGATCGAAAAAAGTATGCGTTTGGACTTTCTGTGGAAGAAAAAAATCCGGGACGACAAGGAAGAGGTGGCGAAAAATGATCTGCTGAACTCGTTATTGCTGGAAAACATTCTCCCAAAACACGTGGCGGAGCACTTCATGCAACCTCACAGAACAAAAGAGGTTAGCGTGTTTTGATAGAGAAAACTTTTTCTTCAAAAACGTATTCGGTTCAGTCCTTGGGTCTTTTTTTATTTATATTTATTTATTTACTTTTTTTTTTTTTTTTTTGAGTGCAATTACTATTTTGTGCTATATGCCTTTACCTGGCTTTTGCGTATACAAAAGGAAGGTACCCCCGGCGGGAGTCGAACCCGCAATCTTCGGTTTAGGAGACCGACGCCTTCTCCATTAGGCCACAGGGGCTGACATCTGGGTGTGGTCAGCTCAACGTGAAAACCCGTAAATATTATCTGAAATAAAAGAAGACCCTATTCGAAATACTACTGTATTTACGATACAATTTCATCACCTGTCTTAAAGGCGAAGGTGGTGATATGTTACCAACAGGATACCTAATTTAAACAGCTCGGCACGAAAACCCATTAATATTACCTTAAATAAAAGAATTCCCTATTCCAAACGCTGCTGTCTTTACAACACAACTTCTTCACTTCTCTCAAAGGTGAAGGAGATGAAATGTAAGCAACAGGATACCTAATTTAAACGGTTATCAATTAAGAGAATCGTATACTGAGAGTTCTATAATAAATGCTTTTGTATTTCTTTTATCATATTGAAGCTGTACCATAACGTCCACGAGTCTGTCTGTGTGATGTTCGCCTCCATACCTGACTACCACCAAGTGTTCTACGAGGAGACAGAGATTAACAATTACGGGATTGGCTGTCTGCGTTTGTTAAACGAAATAATTGCGGCATTTGATAAGGTAAACTCTTTGAGACAATTGTGCATTCGTTGTCTTGTGGTCAGAGTCCTCAGTCATGAAATCACAGTTATCACTTCGTTATTGATGATTCCTTTACTTCCAACTCTCGCCTGCACCAATAATGATATTGGCTATTAATTGATATCACGTTGATCGTCATTAGAATGCAACGATTATGTCTAGATTTGGCTTTCAGCTTTTTGGAGGATGCTAAGATTTGTATAGTTCCCGTGTTCTCTCGTGTACCAGTACTGGTGTCTCGTATCCATCGGAATACTATCATCCACGCTTAGATTCAAACTGTTGTTATTTTTTCTTCAGTTTTGATTTATTTAAAGGATATAGGCCTACACTGCTTTTATATATCTCATTAAAACAATAGCTTAATTATTTTTAATACAGTATGTTCTTAACACATACATTTTTTGGCCGGGATATTGCGCAATGTAACGAGTGCATGCGAAAAATCCGAAAAAAAAAAAAAAGAAAAAGAAAAGAAAAAAAAAAACACGCAAACCGCGCTACATTCCTTGTCAAAATTTCCACCAAAATACAGTCTAGCTACCGATACCCAATGTGGTGGTTATGTGTATTCTGTCGTCTTCCGCTCATATCCAATAACCATTAATCCATCTTCTAGCTCCTAAATCAGAAGCAGTTCATGGACGTGGAGAAAATCAAAACGATAGGCAGCACGTACATGGCGGCAACGGGTCTGCGACCAGTGGAATACTTGGACAGTATGGCCCAGGTAATACCTTCTCTCTACCCGGAGTCCCGTGTTTGTGTGTGTGTGTGTGTGTGTGTGTGTGTGTTTTCTTCTAATGGAGTGTGGAAGACACCTGACAAATATTATCCCGAAGAAAGTGTGAGGTTACAAGTGAAAGTATATTCATTTAAAGCCTGGCTAGGCACAGATAGTACCTCCCCTCTACCAGCAGTCAGGTAATATAACCAAGGAGTTCCATCTGCTTAATATAACTGAAACGGAATGATTGAATGATGTGCGTGGTTAAATAGACAGATAGATGAGCGAAAAGAGTTGTTTTTAATGCACACTACTTTTGGTTCAATAGATAGATTCAAAAGACCGCAATGTGCTAGTGATGATGAAGTTCGTCTTCACGATGATGTGGAGACTGGAAGCAATCAGCCGTCACGCCATGTTCGACTACATGCTGAGGATAGGTATGCTCTGCGGGGATTTTCAAGCAAAACACAGATATTTTCAAATTTGAATTTAATAATTTTAACATTCAGACTTTCTCCATTGGATGATTTCCCTTTCTGGATAAAATACCACACGTTAACCCGCGTTAATATCACGTATATTATGTTTAGATCTACTATAATAATATTTCTGAATAATGATGATGCTGTTTGGAGTAAAACGACGATAATATTTTCTTGTGACTCGCTGGCTTCTGAAAAAGATACTTATTAATATTGGGCTGATTTTTTAAATATTATTTGGCATAATGTATTATAATCATTTTAGGCGTTGCACATGGGGGGCCAGTAATCGCAGGTGTTATTGGTGCCCAGAAACCTCAGTACGATATCTGGGGCGACACAGTGAACGTCGCCAGCCGCATGGAGAGTCAAGGACTCACGGGAAGTGTCGTGGTAAGTAACCGCAGAAATAACAACGATAAACGTGTCCTTGTGCTAGGATAGCCGTATTCTAGTTATGATAGACGAAAAAATAGAAGGAAGCTCTAAGATGAAAACGTCCCTTCTGAAGACATATTCCGACGCAAGGGTTATCGTTTTGCGGAACCGTTAGAATCAAATCAAAAAATATTTTATACAACCTTGTGAATCTAAACCTACATTACATCTATTTCTCAGACCCTTCCAAATCTGCATCTACTTTTCATTCAGTTAAAAAAATTAAATGTGCTTAAATCGTCGCTACTGCACTGGCGAATCTAAGGCTGTGTTAAGGGGGGGGTGCAAAATGATTTTTTGTTGCTTTATATAGGGCATGGAAATTATACTTATTTTTTCTTTTTTTCTTTTTTTTTCTTTTTTTTTTTGTTTTATCGTTCGTTATATTTTTTCGTTGGGGGGGGGGAGGGGGGTGATGAGTACTTGTCGAATCTGTACACCTCTGGAGCCGCCATTCCTGAAGTCAAACTGATCCGTGGGAGAAGCACTTGCTTAAAGCATGGAAGTATACTTCCATGCTTAAAGTAACTTTAGAGTAAAGTCAAAGGCTTTTTCCTGCATATCTTTTTAGGTTCCGAAAGAAACCGCTGACGTGCTGGAGCGAAACGGAGTGTCCTGCGCTTTCCACGCAACCAAAATAGTGAAAGGCAAAGGCCCTATGGACCTGTACATCGTGAACCCCTCTCCAGGCTGGAGGACAAGCTTCACCCGAGAAGACTCCACTAATGTCTCAATGCTCAGTGCTTCTTTGCCTAATTTGTAGACAGTGAACACTTTGTAAATAAAAGGTGTTTAAATTTCGCGTTCTGTATCAATTTACTTGATCAGAAAACGAGTAGCAGCGAGGAAGTACTTTTTTATTTAGTTTCTCTCTCTCTCTCATCAAGTGGAGCAGATTTGTTAGCAGAATATGGAACAATTAAGCTCTGTTCTTGTTATTGTCTGATTGAGTTCATATTTATTTATTTATTTATTTATTTATTTATTTATTTATTTATTATGTACATCACACTTGGAATCAGGTATATTGTGACCACAGGAAACGTGAATAAAGAATGGTTACTCAAAACGTAAACCCGTGTGGTCCTTACTTTATCCCATTGTATCCTATCCGAGATTTCCCGCCCAATGACATGGAGAAGGAGACCATTTTTCTTTTTTCCGAAGCGTAGCTCAATTTGTTCCTGCATATGAATTGAATGTTTTATAGACCCCCATGTCTTCTTCCACTTGGTGCATTTCAGAACGAAATGTCGACATCAGGCATTTTTATTGTTGGGCTTTTCTCGTTTTTCATAAGCTTTTAAGCCTTGATATAGATTACACAATATACAGACTAGAAAATATGACTTTGGGGCATTTTCTTCCCGGATGGTTTACCTTTAAATGCCCTTAAATATACCAACTACAAATAACTTCCTCCACTTGCCATTAATAATATTTATAACCCGTGGTTCACATGACGACTCGAAAGCACGGAGGGACTACATGTAGGTTGTGTATACACCGAGTCAAGCCACACAATCACGCTTATACCTATGACTGACATTACAGGTATATTATCAGGATTCGATAAGACACTTGTGGCCCAGTTAGGACTGAGTTAACACTGTTCGAGTGGTGCATTGTATAAGAATAAAGGTCAATAGTGGCAACGCTAAGGACGGACTGGGGTGATTGCGGTCGTCTTCGAGGTAAGAATATGGACGTCAACGCGATTAAACATATGCTACAGAATAACTACGCATGTAAGATCGGGAAGAGTTCAGGAAACGTAAACATTTTTTTTACATCTATGGACCTGTAAGAGACAAAATATAGGCCTATTCGCTACATGCGATAGCTAGTATAACGTCAATATCGTAATCTAAAGATATACTCCCTGATGAGAAGAGTGGTACCGAATGCACGTGCAATCGCAATAAAGGTAATTATCACTAGGGACTGTTTCAGCTTTGTTTCAGCGGTTCTGGCACCAATACGTGGTTATATCATACGGTGGCTGTGTACGGGGTTGCTTTGGACATTTCAAAATATCTGTGGCCTTTCACGAACCATTTACAAACACCAGGTATCAGCCGAAGTATCATGATCGCGAGGATTCAAGATTTTCCATTGCCAGTCAGAATGAACCAAGATTACCCTTGCCAAACCGCACGTTACAAAGTCACCTTGAGAGCTTTGAACGCTCTTGCTTTCGTCTTAATATTTTAAGTTAGGTGCCCGGGTTTGGAAAAAAAGGGCTGTTCGGCCCGCCACGTGTCGTCTTTGTTGTTTATCGAGTAGTTCGACCCAATCGTTACACCTTACTATTACAGGGTTACCACTTAATATGGAATATTATTTTTTGGCGAGTAAATTTTCTACAAAATATTTAATTTCTCACTAACTGCTTTAAATCCAAAGCTGAGGTGTCACTCCATGTGTAGCCAGGTGTGTTACCTTATTACCACACAACTCTCGAAACAATTGATGCATGCAGTTGCATGTTCTGTGGTCAGAAATGTGAGGGGTGGTCTTTTCGGCAATTTCTGCCCTTGTATAAAAACGCATGGGTTTGGTCAATCTTTGGAGTGTGTTTAGAGAAGCAACAAAGGGATCGCTCTGAAACTTGACAGGTACCTTAGTGAAGATATGGTTCGACAGCTAAGCAACGCAGCTTACTATGGGACTCTTGCCCTCAGAGAAAATGTCCAGAAACGGACAGCCACTGCCAGGTAATTCAACATTTATCAAGAACCGTTTGTAAAGTCCTCCAAAGAAATGATGCAACAGGGGCACCTACTCCAATACCTCGACCAGGGTGTCCGCGTATCACACCAAGAAGACAGGATCGCCTCCTCCTTAGAGGACGCCGTGCTGGTCGTACAAAGACAACCAGTGTCCTCAGAAAAGAGAGGCAGAATGTCATTCAAACGCCCGTTTCAAGGTCAATCGTGAACAAGAGATTACTGCAAGCCGGTTATTTTGCACGAAGGCCAGTAGGGAAACCACTGTTAACAGCAGGTCATATACAGCGACGTCCGCAATGGGCTGGGGACCACGTGCGTTTGCAGCCAAAACACTGAAATCACGTCGTTTTCAGTGATGAGGCCAGATATGGATTTTTTAGGGTTGATGGTCGAATCCGTGTCCACCGACGTGTACGAGGGGCATAAAACGATTATTGTGTACTGCCTAGGGTGCAAGCAGGGGCTTGTAACGTCTCTGTTTGAGGAGCATTTCATGTCGGTGCCCAGAACCAGTTGGTTTTTCTAAGAGGCAACCTCAGCCAGGATTCCTACAGAGACATTCTACAGCAAACGATGCTTCGATTGGTAAGAGCCATCTTCAGGAACAACTTTGTGTACCAAGACGACTGCGCAACCCCACATCGAGGCCGCAGAATCACTGTTTTTCTTCGAAACCAATGGGTTCAGCAACTGCCCCGGCCTGCAAACTCTCCAGATATGAACCCAATTGAAAATCTTTGGGCTAAAGTAACTCACAGAATTAATAGCTATGGTCATCGGCCGGTAAATTGTGATGAACTGCGACAGGCAAATATCACTGCGTGAAATGATATCCCCATCCAAACTTTAAAAAACGTGTAACAGGGTATGCCATGTAGGATGAGGGCGCTGCAAGCGGCTGCTGGAGGTCATACCCGCAATTACTGACTTTTCGTGATTTACTGTAGTGAGTTCTTTTACTGTGTAACATATCACTGTCCGGAGGCTATCATTTACTTTAATATCTTAGCTTAAAGTTAATACTGACATTAAACTGTTGATATGGTTTTCTGGGGGTGTTCCTTTCTTTGAATGGCATCTTATGTCAGATTTGATATCATTGACCAAAATATCTCACAACAGAAGACTGGATGTTTTTATTACTCAGTGGGATTCTTTTTAATGACTGAAGCCAAAAAAAATTTTATCAGTACTCAAAAATAACAATGATAAAAAATATTCCATATTAAGTAGCAACCCTGTAATTATGTGATTGAGAAAACGAAAGTTCTGTGGAAAGGTTCGAAAGAAAAAATCGTAGTGAGGGGATTAACAGTCCTTCGCTAAATGGAAAAGGACTAGAGGAGTATTTATAGGAAATAAGCAATACAGGAGTCGACTATTGAACAATCTCTTTAAGCAAGCACCTGCTTCTAGATATCCTTTCACCAATTGTTCAGCAGAACCTAATATGTATGGCTAGCCCTACTCAATTGTTTTATTTTATTTTTTTAGGCCCATACAGAAAAATGCTCGCCTGAGCTTATTAAGCTAAATAGCTAACAATGAATTGCATAATGAATAAGAAGTATATTCAGAACTGATGCCGATAGCAATATACAGGTAGATTGACCTACATATGACTAGATATAATAGAGTGATCGCTTATAAAGGTGAGTCAAAGCAAGAACACGTTTTTGTTTATTGTTAGACATGTTGTCTTACACAGTTGCCGTCAGTTGACTGCTCATGCGTATCTGGCAGTACAGTTGGAGTATTTTTACATGTACCAGTACCTGTGACCTGAGTTTTAGTTTATAGGCAACTCGGTCACCTCTTATAGAAAATATCAACACGCTTGTGCCATTTCTATTAACTGAGACATTCTGAGCTTCGATAGGTGAGGGGAGCTTGCTGTAATTTCTGAAAGCATAACATGTAAATTATCATTAATCTAATAAAATCGGGGCAAAACTCTGTGATCAATTTAAATTATTGCCTCGGATCTCCTGGAGTGATTGAATATTTTGTTACAAATAAAAGGTTTGCTTGGGACTAGTAGCATACAGGTATATCTTGCTGTCATGCCGTGTTATATCTCGGGACAAAGTTGACACCAGTTCTTAGGTTCAGTTATCTGTCAGAACTGTGACTGTCTTTACGGGACAATACTTGTATAACAGTTCTGACACTTTCCTCGAAGCAGTAAACATTAAGGGCAATTTGATATCAACACACAAAAACACCATTATGGCACATTTAGCAAGGTTCAAACGCCGAGCAGTGTTTCCGGGTAAAACTAATAACATTTTAAAAGTAAAATAGTAATATGTTCATTCACAGATTATTTTCTGAAATATTAAAGCCTTTTCAAAATACATTGCAAATGTAGCCTCCAAACATAAGAGTTTTAAAGATTGTTTAGGGACAGAGATCCACGTTGTAAAATAATCCAAATTGTTGCAATCAACTACCCTGGTACCTTTATATTAGTACCACGGCATACTAACGGTAGAGTTAATCTTAATCTTTCTAATGATACAGTGTAAACCTTCCTCAAGTCGGGTTCTTTTTCCTAATTTGGTCACACCATTCACCTGAAATACCAGGTTAAATAGTGTCCTTCAAGTTTACCTTATGGTCAGACGGGTCAATTTTGGATGTCTGAGGATATCACTATGTCAAACCCTGAACACAATGAACTTTATTTTGAATCGTTCACATTCGACGTTTCTGCAGGTTTCACATATATGATTCATGGTTTTCAAAACATGCGAGCTATACAGTATTCATGCAACCACTGTAGAATATTGGGTGCAATATTTAATATGATGGTAAAGATTAAGAATTTTTCATAATTCTAAATAAACAAAGAAGGTGGGGGTATGGTATTTGGAAACCATACCCTAAGCCAACATAAATATGAAGTAAGTCACTAATTCAAATTACCATTCTATTTCTAGCTTCGATGTAACTGTTGTATTCGAATTTTCCTTCGGTGTGTAAGTATCCCTTTGAACGTAATGAAACCAGGATTGCAAAAAACAAATTAGAAAATAAGACTATATATTCTTATGAAATCACACAATGAAAATGAAACAATGGGGAAAGTTCTTGATACATTATGTGTCAGCAGTCTGCTGTTTATGTTCGAGTCAGACCAGCATATTACAGTTTATACACTTAATGATATATTATTCATTACGTTTTTCTAATCTGACACTAAACACAGGTCGCCTTTGTTTCATTTGGTGACTCAGAGTCAATCACCTGATCATTATGCGCAGTGTCTTAAACGCTATATAAATGACCAAAGTTTCGTGAATCACTCAAAGAACGCATCAGCGGCTTTACCATGATCTATTTCAATGTGAGGTATGTGGCCAACAAAGCTTTAGACTTCACTTTGTCATCATTATGTTGCAGGCCCATGATGACAAACTACAGAGTTGCTGCCACAGTGTTGATTATCATCGTAGCATACTTACTGGGAGAGCGACCAGGTACCAAATATTCCACTTGGCAGTTGACGTTAGACCTGGAAAATGCTCAGCAGAACTTTGTCATCTGGGACAAGACAAAACAGGACCTTCTTATCTCAGGGCAGCTAGGCATGGGGCTGAATTTACTGGGATCGAGGTACCAATGCAGTGGACAGAGGTCCGATTCGATTTGTATAGAGTGGCCAGGATTGGCCAAACTGATCATTGAGAGGAAAAAGTATGATGCTGATGATGAGTGCTACGACATTGTCTGGCAATCTCTGTCGGCAAAAGTGGCACCCAAAGACTGCTTCGATACTAAGGACACTCACTGGTACGGAGGACCAGAGATATTTGCCCAACAATGGCCCATAGAAGGTGCCCCGATGAATCTCCAACAATACGTAAGTGGAGATTATGTGGACAAGCCTCATGTCTTTGGCTCTGTCTTGGAAAACTATTGGCTTTCATCCCGAGGTGCTGGAATCCATGTTGCTGAATCTGTCCCTTTGCATTATGGGATAAACAGCGAGAAACTGTGTCTGAAAGCAGACTATAGAGCCTCCATATTTCCCAGAAGTTCCCAGAACGTTTTGCCTCGACTGAATTACTCAATTTGTCGTGCTGGGAATAATCTTCGAGACACCCACCATTTCATGTCATCGGGGCTCTTTAGCAAACCTAAAGACATCCCCGATGAATTAATGTTCCGTTCTCCCATCTGGTCGACTTGGGCAAGATACAAGATAAACATTGATCAATCAGTTATCCTCAAATTTGCAAACGAAATCAAGGACCATGGATTCAGCAACAGCCAAATAGAAATCGACGACATCTACACCATCAATTATGGCGATTTTATATTTGACACTGTCAGATTTAGCCAGGCACGCCAGATGCTGAGGGAGCTACACGCCATGGGTTTCCGTGTGACTTCATGGGTTCACCCTTTCAGTAATCTGGACTCCTCGGCATTTCAGGAAGGCCTTAAACAAGGTTATTTTGTGAAAGACCCTGGAGGAAAAATGCCAGGTTTGGTTCAATGGTGGCAGGGCACTGGCGCTATTGTGGACAGCACCAACCATAAGGCCGTAACATGGTGGACTGAACGCCTTAAAGCCATGCAATCTCTAGGCATAGACTCCTTTAAATTTGATGCAGGGGAGGCATGTTATCTCCCTGCCAGTTTTCACACAATATTCCCACTGATGAACCCAGGGCAGTTCACCACAGCCTACGTTAATATGGTGGCCCACTTTGGGAGACAAATTGAGGTAACGGCTTTTTGTTTGGAAGCATTTTCAAGTGTTTTGACAAGTTTTTTTAATGAAATTTATATATAGCCTATTTGAGTGTGACAACAAAATTTGAGATGCATTACTAACCAATTTTTTTCTTACAATTGCTTATCTTGGACATCGATTTTTGGGTCAGTATGTACATTATAGAAACAAACATTATAGGTGTTTAGACTGATAAAATGTTCATTGGTGTTCATTACTAGGTAAGGGCTGGTTTCCAGTCGCAGCAGCACCCAATCTTTGTACGAATGCTAGACAAACACTCTACTTGGGACTACAACAATGGTTTGAAGACTATGATCCCTACTGCTTTGCAGTTCAGTTTACTAGGCTACCATTTCATTCTACCAGATATGATAGGGGGGAATGCATACGACTTTAATGCCACAGCGGAAACGGTTGGCAACACCGCTCTCTTGCACACCGAAACCCTCCCCGAGAGAGAACTCTACATTCGCTGGTTACAACTAAGTGCATTCTTTCCCTCAATGCAATTCTCTATAGTTCCGTGGCAATACGACGATGGGGTCGTTGAAATTGCAAAAGCATTTGTGAAACTCCATGAAGACTACATAACACCTATAATTTTAAGGCTTGCTAGACAGGCAACGCAAACAGGTGACCCCATTCTGAGGCCTCTTTGGTGGGTAGCACCAAATGATGCCATCACGCACACCATCGACAATCAGTTTCTTATAGGAGACAGTATTTTGGTTGCCCCGGTGCTAGAAAAGGGGGCAACAGCAAGAGACATTTACCTTCCAGAAGGCAACTGGGTTGATAAACTCAGAGGGGAGAGGTACAGAGGAGGCCAATGGCTCCACAATGTTCAAGCTGATATTAAAGAATGTCCTTATTTTGAGAAGTCTCCAGATCCTTAATTGCCAAGAGACGAATAACACCACCTTGTCCTCAAGCATAACTTAAAGGGATAATAACTCTTCGTTTTGGCAAAAAAAAAAAAAAAAAAATGAATTTTCCTGGAGTCAACAACAATTTTCCCGTACTAACCAATGGTTAATGAATCCATTTTTACATTCAAAGTTAGTCCCTGTTTTTTTTTTCTAAAAAGTTTGGTTTTTTGTTAAAATCTCTTAAGAGATTATAACTGCGTACAGCCATCAATGGAGGTCAAGTGATCTGAAGAAAAGCTCAGATATCAGAATAATAGCTATAACTGCCGTTTTTGTGGTAAAACAGAATGTATTATATTTCTACGAGTTGTTCACAATGTTTTTTTTGTGAAATAAAGATATCATACTAAGAGTAATTATCCCTTTAACTCGTACAAATTACTTTTTGATAAATCTACTTTTTTACGTCTTTTTCTTGTTTTAATTTAAAAAGAGTTGTTAATGACAGCATTATGCCAAATTTCAGTAAAGTTTAAATTAGGGTAGAACAAATTTGTAGATGTGTTCGGTTACTGGCCATCATTTCTGCTTTGGGCCAGTTGACTCTCTAACTACATGGAAATGTATTAAAAGTTTTTGGCAGAGACTGAAAACAATGGTGATAATGAACAATTTTTTAAATAATAAATTCAAAGATATTGTGACTGACATGGATAATATTTTGTGCAATATGGGTTTTTTTGTCTTCAAATTATAACACTACATTGCTCACAAAATGGGTGTTTTAAATACATTTGTCAGGGTTTGGAAAGCAACAAGACATTGTTATAATTAGATGTTACTAAAGAAACATACATCTTAATAAGTAACAATTAGATCTTCTAAATGGCGTCTTCTGACATCCTCCCTCCCTTTTTCATTTGTTATTCAACATGAAGTGATTCCAAAATTTGTAATTCAACAATGCTGTTCAGTCTATGTTGGGTCTAAACTAGTCTAGATTGTTCATTTCAATCGAATGCTGGTCTGAACTTGAAAAAAAAAAAAAAAGGGGGGGGGGAGGGGAGTGAAAGGGAAAATAGTTTGATGTCAACAATAAAGTTATATTGGAACACATACTAGTATGAATATGAAGGAACAAACACAAAATTCACCATTTCATGATTTAATAGTGCTTTTGTATTTAACTGCGGATGGAACAAAAAGAGTGCACTGACAAATTCAAATTTTTCTCCAGGTGTCGCATTGCCATGGGATATAATTGTAACAACAGAAAGGAGTAAAACACACCAACACTATTAAGTCTTTTTTATCTTTTGGTTTGCTGTTAGATCTCTGTTCAAAGGTGAAGAAATGGTTTTCATCCGTTTCAAGTTCTTCTTTGTAATATAGATATACACTATTCCACTTACACAATTTCACACAGAACTTTATGAAAAAGACTAATGAGCAACTACTGCAAGGTTAAAAGGGTGGCAGTTCCAATAACCCTTTAATCTAGACTTAATGCTCTCTGTGAAACCTTAGAATTCAAACAAAAATTAATTTAAAATAGATATTCATTATCCAACAATGAGACGTCCATCATCAGTGAACTCCACTTGAGGAACCTCTAAATTTAATGGAGCCGGCCCCTTCCTTATTCTTCCCGAAGCATCATAGTGAGAGCCATGGCATGGACAGTAGTAGCCGTTGTATTCACCAGCAAAGGCAATAGGGACACATCCTAAAGATAAAGGAGTACATTTTGTAATAAAAAAAATTACAAGGGGCAACACTGGGTTTATCTCTGCCAGTTTTGAAAATGTGAGGTCCAGAAAATATGCAAAGTGCAGTTCATAGTGAAAAAGTAGGTCAAAGGTCAATTTCAAGGTAACTGTAAGATTGCCAATATGTGACTTCCTATTCAAGTTCAAATGTAACTAGTTTGCAAAATATAAAAGATAAAAAATTTGCAAAGTTCAGTTCATGATGAAAAGTAGGTCAAAGATCAAAATCAAGGTCACAGTTAGATTGTCAGTATATGACTTCATAATTAAGTTTGATAGTAACTATGGGTGTGTCTCTGCCAGTTTTTGAAATATAAGGGATAGAAAAGTTGCAAAGTACAGTTCATGATAAAAAGTAGTTCAAAGGTCAATTTGAAGGTCATAGTTAGATTGCCAGTTCCTATTCAAGTTCAATATTAACTTGAAATTCATGAAATGGAAGAGCCTCAGAAATTCCAGATGTACGAATTTCATGAAATAATGTCATTTCTGACCAAAAGTTATCTGCCTCAATAAGCTTTATGTTATCTTTTCCAGATGTTTGGAATTTCATGCATATTACCATATTGCACATTTTATTTTCACTACCACTATGTACTTTTTGATACAGCGTAACTCGTAAACCGTAGGAAAACAAAAAAACAGACACCACCTCCAGTGTTGGGCTTGACATGAACTATCAAGTGCAAAAAAAATTAATGGTTTCAAAATTTGAGAGAGTTTTCAGTTTCAGCATCTAATGAAAATGCAGCTATTGACCCCGAACTCATGGAGATGAAAAATGTAACACCTGCCAATAATATTATAGGTTAGGTCTGTGTAGTTTCTGAAAATCGGCACAAACAAATATTTTGCAAAAAATTCCCATTTTTAGAAAATTTTGGCCTGTTTGACCTTGAAATAAAGGTCAAAGGTCAAACCCAAGGGCATATTTGGAATCTTCACATGACTTTTGGTCAGACTTCTATAGTAATTTTCCCATAATTCCTTCGGTTTGGGAGATATTTAGCATTTAATTTTCAAAAATTTTGACAAGGGTGTGTTTCAATGAGTTTCATGCCCTGGCAAATGCACCGACAAAAAACCAGGGGGTTCAAGTGCAGTTTATATGTGACCTAAATCCAAGAGATAGGGACACAGGTCATTGCAGTCTAGGAGGAAGAGGAGAAGCCGTAAAGGTGACTTGTGTCCCAAGCCGTATGAGACAGGTCGCGACTACGCTGGCGTTTCTAATAATACATCTTCATGCTATTTCAATATTTTTCTGAATTGATTCTATGGACCTAGTCCAACTAATGTATCACCCCCTCCCCTTAAATATATCTCAAGTAAATACCCAAATAAAATATTTTAAATAAATAATACTTAAAAGCCAATGTTATTCAGATTTTGCAACATTTGATCAATAATTAACTCTTTCCAACTCTAGGTCATCACTCACCCAAGTGGGTACACACTCCTACAACTACCAGCCACTCGGGTTTGACCGTTCTATCTTCATCTGTCTGTGGGTCCCTTAGCTTTTTAACATCCACAGAGCGTTCCCTGTTCACCTCTTCTTGGGTGCGATGACGGACAAAAACTGGTTTACCACGCCATTTCACCGTGACTGCTTTTCCCTCAGGAATTTTGTCCAACTTCATCTCAAGCTTGGCCAAGGCCAACATATCTTTAGTGATGGACATGAAACCTACAATACCTTGCACCCCTGCTTTGGCTCCCAAAGCAAGTCCAGTGCCAATAACAGCTGGAAGTAAAAGGATAAGTAGTATAAATTGGTAGGAAATGTACTATGAAGTGCCGAATAAAAGTGCCGGCACGATTTTTTTTTTTCTGGAAATTTTTCACCCTGCACAATCTTATTTTCCCTGGCACGATAAATAATTTTCCCCACGTTATCATCACGGCACAATTATTTGGCAGTCATTGTGCTGGTTGGAAATACTGTTGAACGTTTCGGAAATGTTAATGACCGTTTCATAGGACAAGTTAATTTTTATTAATGATCTGATGCAAGCACTACACTTGAACTTGTTTTTCAGCATAAATGAGAGTAGTCTCTGTCGCGGCTCTGCAGAGCACAATTATTCCACTAGGCACTATTATTAAATATTGGAAATTTTTCTGGGGGGAGGGCACAATTATTCCGGTAGGCACTATTATTTGGCACTTCAGAGTACACTTAACCAATACCAACCACCTTCCTGCGTCAGTCCAATTTTGGTCTCAAATTGCACTTTAAGACCAAATCAGGCGCACTAGTGCAAACACATATCACTATAAGTAGTAACTCTTTTATTTGCTGAATGGGCTCAAAACTACAACTTGCAACTACGTTTGAACTAAAATTTGAATCTTAGACACAAAACTTACCAATAAGATCATGCATTTAATCTGTGTAACTTACCCCCAGTGATAGCATAAGTAAAATTCCTTGAATTCTCAGTAGACTGGGTGTTTGTTTTAGCGTCTGTAAAGGAAGGAGGTGGAATCCCATGTACAAGTTTTACCTCAGGTTTCGATTCTGGAAAAAAAAATTAGCCATTAATTTAGCATACAAGAATACAGTGGAGAATATAATAAGGTCTTGCACTAAATCTTATCTATTTAGTGTGTGTGTGTGTGTATGTGTGTGCGCGAGCGAGGTTCCTGAAATTATAGACAATATTAAATTGACTTTAAACAGTTGTATATCATTCAGTTTTGACTGAAAAATAATAATAATAAAAATAGTATCACACAATGATTTATCAACCAAATTCTACAGAAAAGTGAATGAATGATATCAGAATGACTTGAACTAAGGAAACTCACCAGTAAGGGCATTCTCTGACTGAAGGGTCCGACTTCCATGCATAAACCTAACTTGAGACAGCGATGGAGCTACAAAAAGAAAAAATAAATAAACACTTAAAACAGATGCTGATATCAAATTCTTTTTCATTAAATTATATATATATATATATATATATATATATATATATATATATATATAATAACAAACCAAAACTCATGACTCACTTACCAAATAAGAGACAGTTACCCTTATTACATGCACTAGGAATTATTGTAAAAAAATATATAGGACATTTACATGAGCAAGCATTACCTTGAATAACATTCTTAATACATCCAGGTGCACTGACTGGATAAGAGCTCGTGATAAGAGCTTGTGTATTCAGCCACATGGATATGACAAACTGGGCTCTAAAACTCAAAACTCTCACAAATTGCGACAGCACATGACCATGGCAATTGATTGAAAGCATTAGCAAAAGCAATGCAATACTTGTGTGTCCTGAAGTTAAATTGTAGCCTCGATCTCTATGAAAATTTTATAGCCACATGAAGTGAAAATGTCATAGTGCAATAACATGAAAATTTATTTTATTTAAGTACCAATAAAGAGATTAATTTAATTAATAGGAATATCATAATTAACTCGTTGCAAATAATAGCCTCTAAACAAGTGGTGATATAGCTATAAGCACTCGGTTGCAAATTGTGATGTATTTCAGTTAGGCAAGAGCAACATATAGTAATGTTTTCGTGCCATCACAATTTGCGAAGCTTTCAAGTTATCGAGCCCTGATATGAATGCTGTGAAAGTCACAGATGTGCAAAAACCTATGACATATCAATCCAGCCATCAAATCCCACTGGCATCAGAAACTCTCTATTTGATCTTTCAAGTTTGTGACCCGTTGTAATTTTAAAAAAGGTGGTTTCCAATAAAATGTCAGCTTAAATTCAATGCTTCACTGAAAGCATAAATGTAAATTTATAAGACGTTTGATTGAAATATTGATAAATCAAAAATTTGTGAACATATTTAATAGTTAACAACTATTTATCATAGGATGCCTTTGTGCTCCTACCTCAATAACATTCTGGAATTAAACAAAATTTTCTGAGCAAGAAGAAAAGTTATTTTAATCTTATGAGGCAAAAATAATTATTTCCTTCAAAACGGAAAGCAACTGTAGATTCCCAGTAACAACATAAACTACTTCTACTAACTTCTTATATGAATCAATTAAAGTCCCAAGTCGTAACCAAATCATTCTCTGGTTCAGCCAATAATAGCTTTCTAGGGCATATGGAACTGTGTTCTTTTGGTATCTCTCTAAGTTATACTAGGTAAAACTAAATGGTGGCAAAATATATGTTTTTTTAAAATTTATTTATTTATTTTTATTTGGTGGGGGGAGGCATATATTTGACTTTAAATGCATCTTAAATATTACAGAGTAATGAATTTAACAAATTGCATAACACATTAATCTATTTGGATAGTGGGGAGATTTTTTAAAGTCACCACACAAACCAATTAGGAAAAGAAAGTGAAAATCAAAGAGTATGATGGGATGGGAGGGGGGAGAGACTGCATAAATGCTGGCCTGTTTACAAAATCGTACATTACGCGTAAACTCGTCCACTTTTTAGATTGAAAGTTCATGACGATTTAATCATACCGGTAAAAGTGTGTATTTCATTAAAATATAAGTTCATACCTGCAGTATAAGCTAGAGGTTGTCTTTCCTGGAGACGTTGCGTCGATGAAAGGGGTACATGTTTGGGTTCCGAGGAAAATACCACGTCTGGTTTAAAATTCACCCCTGGCAACGCGCTTTGCATATTTCCCACATTCTGAGTTAGCTGGACAGCAGCGGGATTAAATCCCGCGAGCTGCCGAATGGCGCGATACATCTTTGTAAGGATTTACAGTGCCCCGTTTAGGCACCTTCAAGATTACAAAACCAAAATGGCTACCAGCTCTAGCGTTAAACTGCCGTAAAAAGATACTTGAGACTTTTACGACAACGAGTCCAACTAACGCAATCACGTTCCACCCAGCCTAGTCACGTCTACCCAAAATAGAGAAATCCTGCTGATAAACAACAATATATGGTTTTAAGCCCACATCGGAATATCATGCCGTCGAACAGTTGTTCAATGCAGTTTTTCAGTCAAACAAGCCCAACCAACAACAACCAACATTAGCACCTACAAAACTAGAAATAAAAGCACTCTGAGAGCGCAGACCTCCACCAAGGCAGCAATTTTTATTATTGATTATTGATTGATTATTGATCCAGATCACCACCAAAAACCAATCACTTCTAAGTTAACCCATTTCTGACCTACCCTGAAAATTTCATCGAAATTCATCCATACCTTTTTGAGTTATGTTGATGGCAGACAGACAGACAGACAAACTAGAGAAGCACTCAGAGAGCGCAGACCTCCGCCAAGGCAGCAAAGTCTCGATCCATTCAATTCCGTTTCACCCCTAAATTTTGGATATTTGTGATTACTGATTGATTATTGATCCGGATCACCACCAAAAACTATCTATAGGCCTAATCATCCGTTCCTTGGCCCACTTCTGACANGTTTAAAATTCACCCCTGGCAACGCGCTTTGCATATTTCCCACATTCTGAGTTAGCTGGACAGCAGCGGGATTAAATCCCGCGAGCTGCCGAATGGCGCGATACATCTTTGTAAGGATTTACAGTGCCCCGTTTAGGCACCTTCAAGATTACAAAACCAAAATGGCTACCAGCTCTAGCGTTAAACTACCGTAAAAAGATACTTGAGACTTTTACGACAACGAGTCCAACTAACGCAATCACGTTCCACCCAGCCTAGTCACGTCTACCCAAAATAGAGAAATCCTGCTGATAAACAACAAATTAATATATGGTTTTAAGCCCACATCGGAATATCATGCCGTCGAACAGTTGTTCAATGCATTTTTTCAGTCAAACAAGCCCAACCAACAACAACCAACATTAGCACCTACAAAACTAGAAATAAAAGCACTCTGAGAGCGCAGACCTCCACCAAGGCAGCAATTTTTTATTATTGATTATTGATTGATTATTGATCCAGATCACCACCAAAAACTAATCACTTCTAAGTTAACCCATTTCTGACCTACCCTGAAAATTTCATCGAAATTCATCCATAACTTTTTGAGTAATGTTGATGGCAGACAGACAGACAGACAGACAAACTAGAGAAGCACTCAGAGAGCGCAGACCTCCGCCAAGGCAGCAAAGTCTCGATCCATTCAATTCCGTTTCACCCCTAAATTTTGGATATTTGCGATTACTGATTGATTATTGATCCGGATCACCACCAAAAACTATCTATAGGCCTAATCATCCGTTCCTTGGCCCACTTCTGACAGTTCCTAAAATTTTCATCAAAATCGGCCCATAACTTAGTTTTTAGATTACTGATTGATCCGGATCACCACCAACACTTATCATCTGTTCCTTGGCCCACTTCTGACAGTTCCTGAAAATTTCATCAAAACCGGTCCATATGTACTTTTTGAGACATATGTTGATGACAGACAGACAGACAAGTAAACAACAAACAAACAAACAGGAGTGAAAACATAACCTCCTTGGCTGAGGTAAAAATACCCTGTCATATAAAGGACTAGTTTATTAATTTACTTTTGCGACGTAATAATTCAAACTTTTCTCCACTGTAATTCTTTTTATCATTCAAAAAGCGACATCACGGCGTAAAATAAAAAAAAAAAAAAACAGCAGCACTACACACTCTTTCTCAACATATAGGCCCATTTGAAGCAAAAAGAAAAGTGAAAATTGAAGTAAATGTAGGCGAATTAATTTTTTTCTAAAATCGGGTAACAGAAAGCAATATACCTATATTTTTGTATACATCATGGACATTTTTAAAAACTATTGCAATCATGCCTTGCTTGTACATGTCAGCCCCATTGGGGAAATTTCTGTAACGAAGGTTTCAGTTTTTTTTTTTTTTTTTTTTTTTTTTTTTGTTTGTTTGTTACGAAAGCTCTATAAAAACCCTTTTGGATAATATTTATTACAATTAACGAAAATTAAACTGCGCAAAAGGGCTATTATGAGATGCATGTTTTTATTTGATTTCTTTCACAATGCCTAGTAACAAGGGTTTTGCAAATTACTTTCTAAGAGAATGCAGTTTTGCCGTGCTTCATGTACAACTTTTATCTGTGCCCTGTCACCATATCGTCTAGCATATCATAGATGACACTGAAGTGAAGATTCTATTTCAATTTTATTTTTTAATTAAAAAAGCCAAAATATTACAGAAACATCAAACATATGAAATTGATGACCTATTAATGTCAAAAAGGAATTTTTTATATTTTTTCAAACCCAGCGTTACCGCAAGCTATTTATTAAGTTATTTAAAATAAACGTTCTAGACATTTTTCGCTACGTTAGACATAGGCCTAATGCTTGCTTTCTGATAAGTCGTAGATTTTCTACTTTAGTGAAAAATAAACTGGATCGATTGGATATATGCCAGCGACGGTACTGAAGGTTTAAAATTTTGTTCGTTCATGTTTTTTTGTGTGAAAAAATTACATCTAGTAATCATTATAATTATTATTTTTGCTTCATTGTTGTTAATAAAGTACCACTTGGGCAAACGATTCTTCCGCTCGCTGACTTTTAATAGAACGATAAAAAGTTAAGTGGACCTACATATTGAAAATGAATGCATAATGTAATGATACGATGGTATAAAGGTAAACAATTGCATAATGGGCATATACATGTAACTTAAAATGTTCACTGATATGAAACTCATCCTTAACTTTACGTTTTCTAGTGAAATGAATGCAGATTTGTTTTATGTTAAAAAAAAATACATCAAAACTGTTTCATTCGCCAGATTCAATTGAAATACTGGCACTTTGTGCATCGCCTCCAAGTGCGCTTAATCAATGTATTCCATTTATGGAAATGGCCACATGACCTACAGAATGATATAGGAAACTTAGCTCGTGCTTGTTACGAAACTTGAAGGAATAAAACATTTTGTTTGAAGTAAAACGTTTGCCAAATACAGTGTAATGAACCTTTGTTGTCTGCAAATTTGTTCTCAATAGGCCATAACATGAGACGTGGGAGCTGTTGTTGTGCATTCCATATCACGGGGAACAGGGGCGGTTCCAGAGATAATTTCTGACAGTCTTCCAAATTATCTTTCTTGATCCCTCCTCAATTTTGACCATTTTCCAACAGAAAACATTAGATACCATCAATGTAAACTTGAAAATCTGACCATCTTCTGGAAGACCCAGAAGACCCCCTAAATCCGCCCCTGGGGAAAGTGAGTTTATTGAAAGCATTAAATAAATAAATTAAATTAATAAATATTTATTATATTATAATTTTTTTATCTTATAAAATAATAGTTATTATTATTTTGCCAATGGCACCAAAAAGTTCCCTTCACATAAGTCTACATGTACCCCCAGAAAACTTGTCTTCAATTTCAAACATCGGCACCAAGTGATCAGGCAAGGATATAACGTCCTACACGTTTCAGATTATGGTCAACAAGAGAAATACAAATTAACCAAACACGGGGCCCATTCCGGATGAAATATACATGTACATGTACATCCCTATACGTCCCCGCACCGGTACACCCCCACACCAATACTCCCCCGCACCGAAACTCCCCCGCAGTATCGATGCGGGCGCGCAATGATGTGGGGGAGTATCTGTGTGGGGGAGTAACGGTGCGCCTACATCGGCAATTTTACTGGGGATGTATCGATGCGCGGATCTATCGGTGTGGGGTCGTATCCATGCGCATAAAACACAAAAATTTACTAAGGGGGATTATTGGTGCGGGGGAGTAACGGTGTGGGGGAGTATCAGTGCGGGGGAGTAACGGTGCGTATCGAAATGACCCCAAATAAAGCACCATTTTTTTCCATATGGGTGCCGTGAAATTTAATATTATAGATGATAGGATATATAATATTACAATTCATAATGAAAGACGTTAAAGTTAAGAAAGTTTTCTCCAGAAGCCTGCAGTACAAGCCAGAAAAATATCTGTGCATATCTAGTGTAAAAATCTAGCCATTTAGAGGATAACACCAAGACCTGCCTGTGAAAATACATATGACAGATAATCAACAATACATAATGAAAAGCTTTGAACTTTGGACTTGTTTGTCAACGTTTTCTTTAAAGACATATTAAAAAGAATAAAATGGATCTAGAAAAAAAGAGTGTTCATTTAATATGGGAATGGTAATGACTCGACATTTTCAATGGGGAAAAAATTTTCAGAGACATGTTTAGAATCATTAAAAATATATTTTGTGTAGTAGTTGTGGTGCTTTTTCTGTATAGAATAGAACTAACCCAACTAAAGGCGTCCTGGTTTACAGTTTTGCTACCTTCGAAGAATTTAAGACTTAAAAAAATAAAGTATCTGTAAAACTCACAATTTTCCCCCCATTGTCATGATTGAATCAATACCGCAATAAGTAAAAAATGAGGGGTGGCATGAGAATTACTCAAATGTTATGATTGCAAAATATCCTTTATTGTAAAATTTTATTACATGATTGTACATATAGTTGGTTCCAATCTACGTACAAAATTTATCTAAATTATACCTTTGAAGCCGTCATGTTTCTCAAATTAGTGATTTGGACTTCACAATTATTTCAGTATCCTTTTGAAAATAAATTTGAGCCAAGATTCATTTAATATATCATTTGGCAGTTACAAGTACCCTCACATTTAGAGTATATACCTGCATGTACATGTCCAAGATGTACAGGGGTACCTACAGTACATGTATACTGGCAATTACTTGTATGTACATGTATGCCATACATATATTTTCATAAGACACAAGTACTGTGCTATGCTATATATAATTGAAGATGCTATACATGTTTGCATATGCATATGCTTGAAGGGTGCTAGTATGTCAAGTGTAAAAATATAGTATTTCTTAAAAATTTAGTTCCAACATCTTGATAAAATTCTAGTTCATTTGACAAGTGACCAAAAAGAAATCTAAAATGGAAGTTTAATAATTCAATTTATTTAACCTCTTAATAAGTGATCGTTTAAACAAAATGGATCGTTTTTAATACTTATCACACATGTATTAAATGTATATATAATTGCACCGCCCTCTTTTTGCTTTTTTTCTATTTCCTTCAAATGACATATTTTCAATGTAGATGATGTAATAATGGAACCAAAAATAACTTATAATACATGGATCTTGTCAGAGCCTGTTTTTAATCAAATACTACCTACCACCAATTATCATGTTTCTCTTTTTAATTTTTTCCAGAATATTACAGAGATATGGCAATCCTCTTTGCAAAATATCAAGCCTACTTTAAATTGACAGCAAATATGCTGCTAACTGCAATAATGCTGCAAACTTTTCATTTTGCTAAGGGAAGTGTCAGGATAAGAGGATCAATGGTTGATTTGTTGGAGTAAAAAATACAAGAAAAATAAGTAAAGCATAATGTTTTTCATGGGTAAATCTTCTACTACAGAAACTGTGCATCTTTATGGTTCCTTAATCTCCAGAGTACTGCAAAAATGATTTCACAGTTCCTTGAATTTTCTCCCTTCCTTTGAGGTCCACAAGCTCAATGACTACCAAACCACACTGGGCAATTCCCCCAACCTGCTGAACTAGTTCCACTGCAGCAGCCATAGTCCCTAAAACAAAAAGAACAAAGTGTTATGAACTAAAAACAAAACTGGGCCCAATTTCACACACACACACACACACACACACACACACACACAAACACACACAAAAAAAAAAAAAAAAAAAAAAAAAACTTACATCAGTTTCCTGGGTAGGATTACCATGAGAGTGCTGTAACACTGTTCCTGATAGGGTAAGATGTGCGCATGTGACCATGTTACATTGGTAATTAATCCAAGATTATTTGAAAGGGGGGATGAACGGTGCCATTTGGTCCAGTTTAGAACTATGATTCAGATGGTCAAAATTCTAATTTCAAGGGGGGAGGATTGGTGTTATTATTTTCAGAAATCAAAAGGGGGGGGGGGGGGGGGGGCAGGCACCCCCATTACCCCCCCCAAAAAAAAAAAAAAAAAAAACCACCAGTGTGAGTGCACATGAATTTGAGGGTACTGTAATAGTTTTTTCCTTCCCTCTGCCCCTCCCATGCCTTTAACCCATATCACATCTTATCACAATATGTATAGTTAGNTCTGGTATGTTTCAGCTTTCATAATTAAACGGCAAGCTTGCTTAAAAATCTAATAAAAGTTGGAAATGCCTAGCATTGGTCAGTAGCCTTATTTTTCAAACATTAAGGGGTTGCTTCTGACATATCAGAAATGACTGGCTGGTTAAGGGAAGAAGAAATTTGACGAACATATTTCCTTTCCTCTTTGTAACATCTAGTTAACCAATCTGTTTTATAATGTTGCCTGCATTGACCACAGGCGTATTATTTTACTGACATACAATGTTTATGCAGATTTCATTCGTTTAAAATCTTTTTCAGCTGAAAAACATAATTTACCATCTTTTTACCTGCCTTTTCCGTGCCGTTTTGGTGGCTATTTTGCTATTTCTATTAAAATGACTTGCAGATTATGTGAAAGAACCCCTAATAAACACCACCTCTGTATTTGTATAAACATGCAAATAGACTTTAAAATCAAGAATCTTCACGCACTGTATATAGTTTGATGTAAATTGCTATGAATACATATGTAATTTTGCGTAAAAATTGGCAGCCATTTTGGGTTACGAAAAGTGCCAATGTCCCAGAAGTTAGTAAAGCCAAGCTAAGTTGACTTTTCTGACCAAGAAAGGGACATTTCTTTTTCAAACAATTACAGAAAACAACTTAGTGTTGTTCAACTATGGGACCAATTAGATTGGTAACCTGCTACTTACGCCCTCACCACACATAAGTTGAATATTAAACAAGCAGATAATGGTTGTGTAGGAAAAAAGCTAACGAAAAATCACGATGAACGGAAAAATCAAAGAAGAAGATGCCGTTAATTAGACTGATGATACTAGAAATATGCTGATTTTGCTGATTTACTTTACCCTTTGCCTCTTGGCGGCCATTTTGTTTTTCTATCAGTAACAACGACGTGCTAGATTTCTTGTGCCCTACTGTGTTCTTCCGACATGAAACACATTCACAACAGCCACAAATAAAGTATATCCGTCGACTTCTGGTTGTTTTTCTGTTTTTCCTCAAAAATTGACGGCCATATTGAAATTGCTCAATGTCTCGGAAGTAGCAATCAAGCTAATTATACCTTTCTAACCCTAAAGGATGCACTTCTGTAATAAAAAATTACGGAAAAGAAACATTACAGAGTTCGACTATTGTTCCTGTAGTAGAACGTGGATATTTGTCATCCTAAATTGTGCAATATCACCCAGTGACGTCATCGTGACGTCATCATTGCTCTCATAGATGTGCACAGTGAGCGTACGTTTTTAAAATCTATTTATGATATCATAATTAGTATTGTTAGTGCTCGTTTTGATGAAATCTGAATGTACATAAAATGCTGAGTCAGCATATTTAAGAAAGCGTCTCATCCGGGTACTTGTGAATTTTGGAGTTGCCCCCCGATCCAAAATTGACAAACACCTAAGGGTCATTCATCGTGGAAAGTTTCATGCTTTTATCAACTTTTGCACAATTCTGGATATAATTTGGACTTAACCGCCTGACTAGTACCTCCAGTTGCCAAAAGATCATCCACTATCACCACCTTCTGGCCTGGTTTAAGGCTGTTTTTCTGCATCTCAAATGTGTCCTGAAAAGCATTTTGAGAATGATATTGAAAAAGTAAACGTTGAATCAAGAATGTTGAGGAAAACTCTCCCCACCCCACAAGTTTCCGTGTTTTTGAACATTACAAAGCTCAATTAAACTCTCCTTGATACAAACAAAAGAGGAAATCACCCTCCAAAGGAGGCCAATTCCCATCTCTGGTACACTGTATGTACACACACACACACACACACACACACACACACACACACACACACTGATTATAACAGTATGTCTTTACATGGAACTAGGTATATCTGTATGTACTATATTACTATGTACTGTTGTACTATATGTCAAGCTGCATCACCAGACACATGAATATGAATAATAAAGTAGTACTGAGCATGTTGTTTCAGACCCTTCTTCACAGCTCTATGCATGTCTTATATTCACTGATATACCAGAAAGAGATGAGCTTCCCGAAGAGTCTGGAACTCGGCTCTTGGTAGAGTCAATTGTGAAATTAAGGCACACTTACAGTTCCATATTCCAGCTGATAAGTCACCTGTACAAGTTCACCTGGCAGTTTACCCTTCTTACGCACTGGCACAAATGACACATTCAATTCCTGTGCTATCATTGGACCATAAAGGAATCCCCTGGACTCCAAACCAATAATGCCTTCACAGTCAGGGTGAGCATCTTTAACATACTCTGACATCAGAGAGATTAATCCTTTAAAAACATCAGGGAAAGTCAACACTGGGAATAAGTCTCTGTGAAATATAAAAAGGAAAATAAATCAGGATTTATGGTGCATCAGCATGTTGTTTCACCTGCAGAAATTAAATTTTATCTTTGACCATATGTCCATTTTACTGCTTCACAATTCTCATTCTATTGTAATACAATAGACTACTACATAGTATACTTATATTCATGTACTATGTACTACATAGTACATGAATATACTGGTAAGTATACATCAAAAGCAGAGGAGCATTTTTAACAAATTTAACAATATTGCCATCACTTCAGTTGGATAAATACTGTAGGGCTGTTTTGGGTAAACAACTGTATAATTACTAATATGTCTGAATTCAGGTAAAAATAATTCAATTGTCAATAATGATCAATTAGTGCTCAAACAAAACCCATGCTTACATTGTCCATAATAGGATAAACGTCAACATGAATTCTGCTAAACTTGCTCGTGTACAGTATACATGTAAGTACTTGCACTCGAGTCGAATGCTGAATATCACATAAAAAGAGAATAGTTACCACTAAATTGAGTACCTGAATAAAATGCCCTTTTTAGGGAAATCCGGAATTGCTGCAACTTTTTCCTTGACACGCTCTAGTCTTTTATCTGTAGACATATCTTGCAACGTAAGTTCTCTGAGAGTTTTGAGTTATTTGTAAAGGGAGGAAAGAATCGCTCACATTCAAACCGCGCGTACAAAGTTGACACATTACAAAAAGTATTACCATATATTTTCCAATTTTGACTGATTTTACCTTACTTGAATGCATGATTTTCTACACAAAAGAAATATATAATGATATAATGTAAATATAATTATCAATGTATAAATGAATGCAACGTAGTACTTTACTCAATTAACACGTGATAGTCCTACTTTAGGGGACAGATGATATGTGTGAGTGTAGTAGCACTTCACCAGAAAGAACCCAACAAGCGATCGCAAGAGTACCTAGAAAACGGGTGTAGCGGTAAGGCTCTGTTAACAATTCAGTGCAATATATAATATAATATTTTAATGCCATTCACGTTTTCAATTTTCTAAAGCTTAAGAATTTAAAAAGAAGGAGTGTGTTTGTTTACATGTATTTAAGGACGGGCTACCGGAGACTCCACTGTCAAACCCAACGACAACAGAACACTTCAACAGGTAGGCGCATGTATCACAGGCTTATACTGGGGCTCACCTGTATACATTGTAGACACAACACTTGAGTTTTTCAGCCAGGAGTACATGTTAACAAGAGTTGTTGCGTTGTTGCCTGGTTATGCTGAGTTTGGTACTAGTATGCAGGCACGTTCAACAAATTTCATTTTAGAAAGGTTTATTACTATATATAGTACGTGTTTTTTTCCCTTGGGGTGAAGGGGTGTGGGTGGGGTGAAGGGGTGTGGGTGAAGGGGTGTGGGTGGGTTGAAGGGGTGTGGGTGGGGTGAAGGGGTGTGGGTGAAGGGGTGTGGGTGGGGTGAAGGGGTGTGGGTGGGGTGAATGGGTGTGGGAAGGGTGAACTCCTTTTATGCAGCACTAGAATGTGTCAAGGCACTAGGAAAACACGGACTGAAAGGTTGTCATATTTCAAAAAAAAAAAAAATCCTAGATAACGGGCTATATCACTTCAGTGGTACGTGTAACTGCATGTGGAGACTGATCAAGTGAATAAACAGATTCTTAACCCCCAGATACCAGACTCTCTGATGATATGTTGAAACAGTTTATTTATTTTTTTTTAATTTTTCTTTTTTTTTTTTTAGCCTTGGCTCCCTGTAAAATGAATCTCATATCCTAGGGATGACAGTGAAGGATCTGCTGAAATAATTGCAATATATGACAAGGCTTAGACCAAATTTTTATAATTTACTAGTTACAATAATATGGAAGTTCTAGTATTTTAAGCATTTTATTTAGTTTAATTTTTGGGGCTAAAAGTAGTTTAACGTAATATTATGGTGTCAGAAATGTTTGATTCTTCAATTGTTTTAAAGATAACACCTTTTAACAGGAATGCAGGTATTTGATATTTTTATGCTTTTAGAAGCAAATCCTTGAAATTGGAGAAAATGTGCTTTTTGTCAATTCAGAAATTCTCTTTCTCTCTCCCTCCTCCTCCTCTGTCTCTCTCTCTCTCTCTCTCACACACACACACACATGCACACACACACACACACACACACACACACACACAGAGGACAAATGAGAATAAAATGTCTGCTTTCCTTATTTATGTAATTTGAACTTGTTCCCTTAGTTTCATAACCTAGTAACCTAGTAACCAGTTTATATATTGCTTATGTACTACCTAAGTTATTGAAATTTGAAATTTATATTCAAAAAATTTAAAAACCACAGTGTACAAAATGCAATTTGTTGGCTGAATGCAAATTTATCAGCTGTTTATTATTAGCTTTACCCTGAGGCTTTATCAGAAACCAGCTTTTTAACTTGTATGAAAAATAACAGGTTTAAGCGACTTTCATTAATCTTTACAGGTGAGATTAGGGGAGTTACCTGTCATGATACAAAAAGAGGAAAGTAAACCAGTTAATCAACTTTACACTTATAACCTGTTATGTATATTGAGTGACATCCAAGGATATAAAATGACCCTGTACTTGTACCATTAAATATTTGACTTTGAAAGGAGATTTTTAAAATTAAGTTACTGTTTCATTAGATTTTATCCAACCATATGTTCTTTTGACTAGTAAATGTACTTTTTCATTTAGAAATACCTCCCCTTCCACAGGGCAATTGATTTTGTGGTAAAAAAAAATGCTGTGCTTTAAAAATATGCGTACAGAAATTGTTAAGCCATCATGTTAAAAGCATGAACTGTTGAATTATATATGGCACTTAATTCCTAGTCTGGCAGCATGCCAAGCCACGGAGAGATGATAAAGTAAAGTGTATTTCATGCCACTTAATCTAATATAATGTAAGTTGTCTTGGTTTTTATTACTTTCATATATAAAAGGCTCTTTATTTGCTGTTTTATTGTATGAGATAGCTTTTTGAAACAGATGACTTAGTCGAGTAATTGAACAGTTCAGTGTTTTAAAGAAGAAGAAAATATCTGTTGTCAAATCAGTCAGTGTTGAAATGGTAGGTGATAAGCATGTTTTCAATATATTCATCCCATGGATTAAACTAAACATGTTTTATAAGTTGTTTTGTTCAGTCTCTCTGTCTAATAACCCTGTAAGTGTAGACAGGTCACACAAGCATATTTTTTTTTATCATATAACAAATCATAAAAGGAAATTAATTGAGCTTACAAAAGTATGTTTTCATTGATATTTCAATATCAGCATTTGTAAAGAAAAAAAGTGTGGTGTGAACATAATGTAAAATTTTGCAAAGTCATACTTGGTGCTCATCCAGGTTCTTTATTTATATATATATATATATATATATATATATATATATATATATACAAGTTAGGGAAAACTAGACGGCTGGGAATAAAGGGTAAAAATTGATGACCTACCAAGCAAACATGTCATCTTAGGTGTTAGTGAAGCGTAAAGAGAATGTTATTACAAAATGGACATTAGAAAAGATTTAAACATGTACAACATAGATCCACGGGATTCAAATTGCAAGGTAGGACCTTCAATTTAAAAAGACCCACACAACCTGGAAGTTTGTTTTTTTTAATTTAGTGTGAGAAATGTGTCATGCTCATTTGTAGAAATTGTTATTGTAATTGTAGGATTGTGGTCTACAGTATGGTATTCTTCCAGAGCAAGCTTATCTTGGTGTACAATAGGTAACAGCACTTTCTTCTTATTTCAATGCTTTGATACCTTGGGAAAAAAATTTTTCAAGCGTAATCAATTAGTCTTGCCTCCTTACCTTTCCTGAGATATTTGAGCCTTTTTACCATCTCTGACAGGACCTTGGGTCTCTGAAAATTGTGTAAAGTTAATGTTAGGCCAGACAAAACTGATAAGTTGGTTTACATGCAATGACTCTAAACAGGGTTAGCTGTTAGGCAAACTTTGTTTTAATTTAATTTCATTTTTTTTTCAAACAAAAGTGTTTAAAGAGCATAGGGGCTATATTTCTTGGTAAGAGGGTGTTTTTGTTAACTATTTTATATCATTTTTAATTTTTTTTTGCTCGGGGGGGGGGGGGAGGGGGGGAGGAAGATGTCAAATTCACAGTGGAGGTAATTTTTTATAATAAAAACAAGTGCATTGAGGTTTTCCCTGGGGTCAGATGTAAACTTTGTTTTTTTTCCATGAAATCAAATTTAAATTGGCAAAAAAATGACCACTCAAAATCAGTAGCATTCAAAGTCGGTACCATTCGTTAACCAGCTCATCGTTAATAGCTGGCCTTGCCATTAAAACAGCTTGGCAGTGGACCAACTTGACTTGTAGAAAACCACTGTGTCTTAAGGGGAGAAGGTGAGGGGACCACCTGGTGTATGACCTTCACTATTTAATTACTATTTGATGCTAGTAATGGCCTCCAGCTCTGATGGAATACAACAATTTATCAACAATTTATTGCATTGTAGTGAACAGGTAGATCTGCATGTACTTGAATTTTCTTCACATTTGTGGGTACAGGGATAATCTTAAAGGACAAAATAATGCAAGATAAGAGATGAATAAAGGACTGTTTTGACAGGAATATTATATTCTGTAAAGATGTCTGTTTCTTATCTTTCTACAGCCTTCAAAGGGATAGTATATATTAACCTTTTTTATGTTCATACAAAATATGTTATCATATATGGCATTCATAGCCATTGGATAATTTATGTTTTAAAGTTCTTATCACAAAGTGAAAATGGCATATCTTCATAACATAAAAGTGTGTGATCTATTTATGAGATAATTTTGTGCCTGGCCATTTGGTGTATCCAATGTAAATTATGTTGAGGCCACTAAATATGAAGAAGGGTTGAAAATGTATCAGAAAATGACTGCTATAAAACTTAACCAACTACTAGTGTGTATAAGTTGCATTGTACAAACAATCTTAAGGACTGCAATTAAGCTGTATTCCCAGAAAAATCATGATCATGCTGACAATTATTTAGCCATGTTGTCAGCATTTATTGTGGGCTAATTATTTGTGAAAATGCTCCCAGGCTAATATCACAAAGTCATCCGTAAGATTCAGGAGTCAGTTCATTATGTTGTCCAATATTAACACAATTTATTTACAGTATGTAGAATAAGTCCCAAGATCGATATAGCTTATTTGAAAGCTGATATGTTGGTCTCTTATGAAAATTTCCACTCTGTGGTCATAATAGTTTCTTTAATAGATTCTTAGGCTACAGTATATCAAATCATATATGTGACACCACTGCTGTAGGTTTGTAAATAATATTTGTTGTTGGAAATAGCTTGATTATGCCAGAAATCGTTTTATAGCTGCTGCTATTGAATTGGAGTATATATATACGTATATATATATTGAATTGGAGTATATATATACGTATATATAGAAGGCGTGATCGAGCTGAAAGTGACTGAATACTTGTTTTTTTTACATATCTAAAGTAGCTGAAAATAAACTGATAATTACAGTACTGTGGCATAAGGCTGGGTATGCAAAAAAGCCTGTTAAGTAGTATTTACTTGGAAGGATTTTCCATGATCGAGAAGGACAAAATAATTGTTTTCAGAAATTATGCAATTATTTGTAGTGAAGTTGGTATCAAAATTAATTGTACGTTTACAGAGAACCACCAAAGAACCACCGGGTTGAATACTAATCTGAAATACATATTGTCAAGTAAGACAGATGTAGAAAACAAGTCCTTCATGAATTAAAGATAACCCTGAAACAGTTACTGCATTTCCTGTACCTGCAGCTTGTATTTTTCCTCTCTGATTCACTGAACTAAATTGGGTGTGTCGCTAAAGATTTGCTGTTGAAACCTGACTTGAATGAATAAACTGTGTGTCAATTATTTCTTAAATTCAATGTTATTTATAATGAAAACCCGAGGGCATCATAAATGGATGAGAATAAAATTTCTTGTTATCATCATGGCTTTCTAAGTTTTGTGCAACTGTTTTTCCTGAAGTTTGAAATATTTTTCTTTAGCCCATGTGAAATGTTAATTTTTTTCAACCAAATTTTGTGTGCTACACTGCTAGGAGGGAAAGCATATAAATATATACTAGTAGCACATGGCTGAGAGGTAAAATAGAGACCAAAAATCCACAGCATATCAATTAGCCATCTACGCAAATAACTGACTCCTTCATTGAGGAGGAAATGACAAGATTTATTGCACGGCACGTAAATTATGTCCAGATCAATGGTTTTGTCATGCTTTTCACTTTGGTTTGCTTTCACTAATAACCCACATGCCCAAGTCATACAGGTGAAAATTTTAAGCCTGTCTCCAGTATAAATGATTATATGATATGCATGCAGAAATTTTTTCATAAGTTCCATAAGCTGCTGTTGGAGATGTGTGACTTTGTGATTTCTGGCATGTAGTTAGTGACAAGATCGTTGTGGCAATGAATGGTGTCATATTTCTGTCTTCCAAGGCCCAGACCAAATCCCCGTATTATTTGGCTCGTCACCACTGTAATTATGGTGGTTCGACCCTGTGTTGTTAGATAGGTATCCCACGGTGCATGTGAACTATAATCAGGCTGTTGGCTCAGGTGGGTCTCAGAGAATGGAGAATATCCTAGATAACTCTGTAAGTCTCAGGACTTGGCATGAAATCAGTCGAGATTTGGCAGTATTTGGAGGAGAGTAGGTCAGACATAACGAGAGACTGAGCAATTATGGTGTGGCAGTGAATTAAAGCTAATTTATGGAATTTATCCACAGATATTCTTAATGTTCTCCCCTAAATTCTGTAAAATTACCAGAACAATAACTGCTTTTAGCACAGTACGTAAAAAATTCACACACCATGTTTTAAATGTTTCTTTTGTCATGCCTTTTAAAATGAATTTTTTGAAACATGCAGTTTCAAGCTTGTTGCTAAAAGTTTAATCTTACCCCAGACAGTTATTTGTGGGGTTTGGACTGGTGGGGGTGGGGTGTTGGAGCTGTAAGGAATACATTATAGGATTAAAAGCCTAGGACGACAACTGTGCATTTTGGCAAAAAAAAAAAAANTTGTGTATTTTTTTCCAAAAACAAAAGGGGGGGGGGCGGGAGGGCGGACCCCCCCAACCCCCCCCCCCCCCCCCCCCGCCCCCCCAAAAAAATCCACCAATGTGAGTGTACATGAAGGTGAGGGTACTGTAATAGTCTTTTTCCTTCCCTCTGCCCCTCCCATGCCTTTAACCCATCGCATCTTATCACAATATGTACCTCCAGTTGCCAGAAGATCATCAACTATCACCACCTTCTGGCCTGGTTTTAGGCTGTTTTTCTGCATCTCAAATGTGTCCTGAAAAGCATTTTGAGAATGAAATTGAAAATGTAGACGCTGAATCAAGAATGTTGAGGAAAACTCTCCCCACCCCACAAGTTTCTGTGTTTTTGAACATTAAAAAGCTCAATTAAACTCTCCTTGATACAAACAAAAGAAGAAATCCCCCTCCAAAGGAGGCCAATTCCCATTACTGGTACACTGTATGTATATATACATATATATTTATATATATATATATATACACACTGATTGTAACAGTATGTCTTTAAATAGAACTAGGTATATCTGTATGTACATGTACTATATATACTATGTACTGTTGTACTATATGTCAAGCTGCATCACCAGACACATGAGTATGAATAATAAAGTAGTACTGAGCATGTTGTTTCAGACCCTTCTTCAAAGCTCCATGTCTTATATTCACTGATATACCAGAAAGAGATGAGCTTCCCGAAGAGTCTGGAACTCGGCTCTTGGTAGAGTCAATTGTGAAATTAAGGCACACTTACAGTTCCATATTCCAGCTGATAAGTCACCTGTACAAGTTCACCTGGCAGTTTACCCTTCTTACGCACTGGCACAAATGGAACATTCAATTCCTGTGCTATCATTGGACCATAAAGGAATCCCCTGGACTCCAAACCAATAATGCCTTCACAGTCAGGGTGAGCATCTTTAACATACTCTGACATCAGTGAGATCAATCCTTTAAAAACATCAGGGAAAGTCAACACTGGAAATAAGTCTCTGTGAAATATACAAAGGAAAATAAATCAGGATTTATGGTGCATAAGCATGTTGTTTCACCTGCAGTAATTGAATTTTATCTTTGACCATATGTCCATTTTACTGCTTCACAATTCTCATTCTATTGTAATACAATAGACTACTACATAGTATACTTATATTCATGTACTATGTACTACATAGTACATGAATATAAGTATACATCAAAAGCAAAGGAGCATTTTAACAAATTTAACAAAACTGCTATCACTTCAGTTGGATAAATAGGGCTGTTTTGGATAAACAACTGTATAATTACTAATATGCCTGAATTCAGGTAAAAATAATTAAATTGTCAATAATGATCAATAAGTGCTCAAACAAAACCCATGCTTACATTGTCCATAATTGGATAAATGTCAACATGTATTCTGCTAAACTTGCTCGTGTACAGTATAAGTACATGTACTTGCACTCGAGTCGAATGCTGAATATCACATAAAAAGAGAATAGTTACCACTAAATTGAGTACCTGAATAAAATGCCCTTTTTAGGGAAATCCGGAATCGCTGCAACTGTTTCCTTGACACGGTCTAGTCTTTTATCTGTAGACATATCTTGCAACGTAAGTTCTCTGAGAGTTTTGAGTTATTTGTAAAGGGAGGAAAGAATCGCTCACATTCAAACCGCGCGTACAAAGTTGACACATTACAAAAAGTATTACCATATATTTTCCAATTTTGACAGAATTTTCCTTACCTAAATGCATGGTTTTCCACATAAAAGAAATATATAATGATATAATGTAAATATAATTATCAGTGTATAAATGAATGAAACGTAGTACTTTACTCAATTAACACGTGATAGTCCTACTTTAGGGGACAGATGATATGTGTGAGTGTAGTAGCACTTCACCAGAAAGAACCTAACAAGCGATCGCAAGAGAACCTAGAAAACGGGGGTAGCGGTAAGGCTCTGTTAACAATTAAGCGCAATATATTTATAATATTTTAATGCCATTCACGTTTTCAATTTTCTAAAGCTTAAGGATTTAAAAAGAAGGAGTGTGTTTGTTTACATGTATTTAAGGACGGGCTACCGGAGACTCCACTGTCAAACCCAACGACAACAGAACACTTCAACAGGTAGGCGCATGTATCACAGGCTTATATTGGGGCTCACCTGTATACATTGTAGACACAACACTTGAGTTTTTCAGCCAGGAGTACATGTTAACAGGAGTTGTTGCGTTGTTGCCTGGTTATGCTGAGTTTGGTACTAGTATGCAGGCACGTTCAACAAATTTCATTTTAGAAAGGTTTATTACTATATATAGTACGTGTTTTTTTCCCTTGGGGTGAAGGGGTGTGGGTGGGGTGAAGGGGTGTAGGTGGGGTGAACTCCTTTTATGCAGCACTAGAATGTGTCAAGGCACAAGGAAAACACGGACTGAAAGGTTGTCATATTTCAAAAAAAAAAAAAAATCCTAGATAACGGGCTATATCACTTAAGTGGTACGTGTAACTGCATGTGGAGACTGATCAAGTGAATAAACAGATTCTTAACCCCCAGATACCAGACTCTCTGATGATATGTTGAAACAGTTTTTTTTTTTTTTTAATTTTTCTTTTTTTTTTAGCCTTGGCTCCCAGTAAAATGAATCTCATGTCCTAGGGATGACAGTGAAGGATCTGCTGAAATAATTGCAATATATGACAAGGCTTAGACCAAATTTTTATAATTTACTAGTTACAATAATATGGAAGTTCTAGTATTTTAAGCATTTTATTTAGTTTAATTTTTGGGGCTAAAAATAGTTTAACCTAATATTATGGTGTCAGAAATGTTTGATTCTTCAATTGTTTTAAAGATAACACCTTTTTTTGCAGGAATGCAGGTATTTGATATTTTTATGCTTTTAGAAGCAAATCCTTGAAATTGGAGAAAATGTGCTTTTTGTCAATTCAGAAATTCTCTTTCTCTCTCCCTCTTCCTCCTCTCTCTCTTTCTCACACACACACACACACACACACACACACACACACACAGAGGACAAATGAGAATAAAATGTCTGCTTTCCTTATTTATGTAATTTGAACTTGTTCCCTTAGTTTCATAACCTAAATACCTAGTAACCAGTTTATATATTGCTTATGTACTACCTAAGTTATTGAAATTTGAAATTTATATTTAAAAAATTTAAAAACCACAGTGTACAAAATGCCATTCACGTTCTGAATGGAAATTTATCAGCTGTTTATTATAAGCTTTACCATGAGGCTTTATCAGACACCAGCTTTTCAACTTGTATGAAAAATAACAGGTTTAAGCGACTTTCATTAATCTTTACAGGTGAGATTAGGGGAGTTACCTGTCATGATACAAAAAGAGGAAAGTAAACCAGTTAATCAACTTTACACTTATAACCTGTTATGCATATTGAGTGACATCCAAGGATATAAAATGACCCTGTATTTGTACCATTAAATGTTTGACTTTGAAAGGAGATTTTTTAAATTAAGTTACTGTTTCATTAGATTTTATCCAACCATATGTTCTTTTGACTAGTAAATGTACTTTTGCATTTAGAAATACTTCCCCTTCCACAAGGCAATTGATTTTGTGGTAAAAAAATGCTGTGCTTTAAAAATATGCGTACGGAAATTGTTAAGCCATCATGTTAGAAGCATGAACTGTTGAATTATGTATGGCACTTAATTCCTTGTCTGGCAGGATGCCAAGACATGGAGAGATGATAAAGTAAAGTGTATTTCATACCACTTAATCTAATATAATGTAAGTTGTTTTTGTTTTTATTACTTTCACATATAAAAGGCTTTTTATTTGCTGTTTTATTGTATGAGATAGCTTTTTGAAACAGATGACTTAGTCGAGTAATTGAACAGTTCAGTGTTTTAAAGAAGAAGAAAATATCTGTTGTCAAATCAGTCAGTGTTGAAATGGTAGGTGATAAGCATGTTTTCAATATATTCATCCCATGGATGAAACTAAACATATAAGTTGTTTTGTTCAGTCTCTCTGTCTAATAACCCTGTAGACAGGTCACACAAGCATATTTTTTTATCATATAACAAATCATAAAAGGAAATTAATTGAGCTTACAAAAGTATGTTTCCATTGATATTTCAATATCAGCATTTGTAAAGAAAAAAGTGTGGTGTGAACATAATGTAAAATTTTGCAAAGTCATACTTGGTGCTCATCCAGGTTCTTTATTTATATATATATACATACATGTTAGGGAAAACTAGGCGACTGGGAATAAAGGGTAAAAATTGATGACCTACCAAGCAAACATGTCATCTTGGGTGTTAGTGAAGCGTGATGAGAATGTTATTACAAAATGGACATTTGAAAAGATTTAAACATGTACAACATAGATCCACGGGATTCAAATTGCATGGTAGGACCTTCAATTTAAAAAGACCCACACAACCTGGAAGTTTTTTAATTTAGTGTGAGAAATGTGTCATGGTCATGTTTGAAGAAATTGTTATTGTAAATTATAGGATTGTGGTCTACGGTATGGTGTCTTCCAGAGCAAGCTTATACTGGTGGACAATACTTGAATAGGTAACAGCACTTTCTTCATATTTCAATGCCCTGATTTCCATCCGCATATATGCCTAATCATTCAGGAAAAAAAATTGTTCAATCATAGGTAAATTAGTCTTGCCTCCTTACCTCTCCTGAGATATTTGAGCCTTTTTTACTGTCTCTGACAAGACCTTGGGTCTCAGAAAATTGCTTCTTAATGTGTGAAGTTAATGTTAGGCCAGACAAAACTGATAAGTTGGTTTACATGCACTGTTCAAGACTGAGATGGCATGGACACGTAGAAAAGATGAGTAATGACAGCTAGGTGAAAAGAGTTACAGAGTTTGAGATAGAGGGTTTGATGATGTGATGATAATGACTCTGTAAACAGGGGTAGCTGTTAAGCAAACTTGTTTTTTTTTTTTTTTTTAAACAAAAGTGTTTAAAGAGCATAGGGGCTATATTTTTGGGTGAGTGGATTTTTTTGTTGATAATTGTATTTTATTTTTTTTTTCTTAATTTTTTTGCTGGAGGCGGGAAGATGTCAAATCCACAGTGGGGCAATTTTCATATAAAAAACAACAGCATTAAGGATTTCCCTGGGGTCAGATGTAAATTTTATGTAATATTTTTGAATTAAATTTAAAAAGACAAAAAAAATGATCACTCAAAATCAGTAGCATTCAAAGTCGGTACCATTCGTTAACCAGCTTATCATTATTATCTGGCCTTGTCATTAAAACAGCTTGGCAGTGGACCAACTTGACTTGTAGAAAACCACTGTCTCAAGGGGAGAGGGTGAGGGGACCACCTGGTGTATGACCTTCACTATTTAATTACTATTTGATGCTAGTAATGGCCTCCAGCTCTGATGGAATACAACAATTTATCAACAATTTATTACAGTGTAGATCTGCATGTACTTGAATTTTCTACACGTTTGTGGGTACAGGGATAATCTTAAAGGACAAAATAATGCAAGATAAGAGATGAATAAAGGACTGTGTTGACAGAAATATTATATTCTGTAAAGATGTCTGTTTCTTATCTTTCTATAGCCTTCAAAGGGATAGTATATATTAACCGTTTTTATGTTCATACAAAATATGTTATCATATATGGCATTCATAGCCATCGGGATAATTTATGTTTTAAAGTTCTTATCACAAAGTGAAAATGGCATATCTTCATAACAAAAAAGTGTGTGAACTATTTATGAGATAATTTTGTGCTTGGCCATTCGTCTAAAAACTGTAGTGTATCCAGTGTAAAGCATGTTGAGGCCACTAAATATGAAGAAGGGTTGAAAATGTATCAGAAAATGACTGCTATAAAACTTAGGCTTCATTCACATGCAATGTCTATTTTCTAAATTCTATTTTCTATTCGCGGTATGTCTTATGATCACGGTCTGTGCCCTGAATATCCCGCGGCGTAATTACTGGCAGCGCGAGCCAGTTACTATAAGTTACTATAAGTAACTGGCTCGCGCTGCCAGTAATTACGCCGCGGGATATTCAGGGCACAGACCGTGATCATAAGATAGCGCGAATAGAAAATAGAATTTAGAAAATAGACATTCCATGTGAACGAAGCCTAAACCAACTATATATAAGTTGCATTGTACAAGCAATCTTAAGGGCCGCAATTAAAGGGATAATAACTCTTCGTATGAGATCAATATTTCACAATAAAAACATTGTGAATAACTCATAGAAATATAATATATTCTGTTTTACCACAAAAACGGCAGTTATAACTATTATTCTGATATCTGAGCTTGTCTTTAGACCACGTGACCTCCACTGATGGCTATACTCTGTTAAAATCTCTTAAGAGATTTTAACAAAAAACCAAACTTTTTAGAAAAAAACCAGGGACTAACTTTTAATATAAAAATGGATTCATTAACCATTGGTAAGTATGGGAAAATTGTTGTTTACTCCAGGAAAATTCATTTTTTGGCCGAAACGAAGAGTTATTATCCCTTTAAGCTGTGTTCCCAGAAATATCGTGATCATGCTGACAATTATTTAGCCATGTTGTCAGCATTTATTGTGGGCTAATTATTTGTGAAAATGCTCCCAGGCTAATATCACAAAGTCATCTGTAAGATTCAGAAGTCAGTTCATTAAGTTGTCCAGTATTAACACAATTTATTTACAGTATGTAGAATATGTCCCAAGATCGATATAGCTTATTTGGTGGTGTTATGCAATGAAAGCTGATATGTTGGTCTCTTATGAAAATTTCCACTCTGTGGTCGTAATAGTTTCTCTAATAGATTCTTATATAGGCTACAGTATATCAAATCATATATGTGACGCCACTGCTGTAGGTTTGTAAATAATATTTGTTGTTGGAAATAGCTTGATTATGCCAGAAATCGTTTTATAGTTGCTGGTACGT